GGGGCTGCCAGACAAATTAGGGGAGGCTGACGCGGGCAGGGAGGGGGGGGGGGCAGGGGGGGTCTGCGTGAGTCTAGCCGGGACATTCGAGATGAGAGCAAGATGCTGTACGAACCACGTTCATTCTAAAATACACAACGCGTACACACACACACACATACACACACACACACACACACACACGCAGCTCGAGCAGGTGAAGACCTTTGAGATGATGTGCGTCGTGGAGATGTTTCTGCAGCGTTTGTGTTTCGTTTCGACGCGGTGAAACAAGCGGAGATGTTTCAGTTTGATCAAAGTTGGAGGTCGGAGCCAAAAGCTCCACTGAGACATTTCGGGTTCTTAAGTGATTCTGCACGCTGGTCGTAAGAGGAGTCGGTCGACAACATGGCGCGGCTCACAAAGGACCCGTGCGATTCATTCGTGGCGCCCGCTTTGTTGTTCAGATTCAAACGGCAGCTGAGGAAATCATTAAAGTTTGATCTGCTCGCTGCCCCATGTGAGCAATGTCCCGATTCTCTAATCTCTCTTTGGGGGACACGGAAAGACGCCGCTGAGACCTTCCCACTGCGTCCTCTGTCCCTCTCGTTTAGGATGGGACACGTTCTGCAGTTTGACGAGCAGAGCCGGAAAGTCAAGGACGCCGCCGTGCAGGACGAGGACACGTTCGAGATCTACGACCCCCGAAACCCCGTCAACAAGCGGAGGAGGGAGGAGAGCAAGAAGATCCTGAAGGAGAAGAAGGCCAAGACGTCGGGCGCCTCCCAGGACATGTGATCGTCCGCTTTCCCCGCCCTCGTCTGCAAAGGTCGCCCTTTGATTACATGTCGTGTTACGGATGCTTAAATGTGACTGTTAAACTAATAAACAGCAATTCTGAACCGATTGTTCCAGGTTGGTGTGTCAGTCAGCGGCCACTTTAACCCGTAAAGTAGTTCTTCTTCTTCTTCTTCTTCTTCCTCTTCCTCCTCCTGGCATGCAGACTCACATCAGCACATTCGTTCCTCTACGTCCACGAGGTCCAAGCGAGTTCCGCCCGGGAAATCTACAACAGCACTGATCTGGAATGAATGCAATGTCTCCTCAGGATGCAACAAAGTACGAGGTTAAACCTCGGAAATACTCTCTCCCCCCCCCCCCCCTCAAACTGCGAGTATTCAGCATAGAGTTACACGGAGGACCGCTGATATCTGACCTCCAAGTGGAAATATTTCCATCTTTGGTCGAGGTGAAGTTGTTCAATATTGGAAGAGATTATTAACATAATATTCAATTCTGGCGCGATGTGATTGGATTTAAATGTGGAAGCTGATGCCAACCAGTCATAGAATGTGTGCAGCCATATTGCTAAAATAATCAATGAACGAACTACTGAATGAACCATTGTTTGGACTCCTCGCAGTTACACATTAGATGCAACCTATTTACGACCATTTCTTCATTTGATTTTATTTATTTCAATAACACACGGCCCGCCGAGGCCAAATGCTCCAGGTTCGATCCGACCACCACCACGCGGGTCGACCGGGGTCGTCGGGAGCTCCACGGACGCCAGGTCGTCGCACGGAGTGAATCGCTCCCCGACGAAGAACGGCGTCCGCGCACAACACGAGCTCCTAAAACGACGGGTCTCGCAGGGGGGGGGGGGGGCGTCAAGGTGAAACCTCCGCAGAGTGGAGGACGCGAGGGGCCGTGAAACCGCTTCCGGGGCCCCATCATCACCATCATCATCCGTCCTCGTTAGCTCGCCGCCGTCCGGTGCTTTGTGTGCAGCAGAAGAGGCTGAATCAGGACATAACTCATTCCATAATGTCCCACAGTGAGAGCACACTTAAGGACCTGCTCTATCCAACACACACACACACACACACACACCGCCAAGCAGAAGCTCTTGGCTTTGCTCCATTGGCCTAAGTGATTGGCTATTGATTTTTTTGACACACTTAGTCCATTTATCTGCTGACGGAGGACAGTCGAGGAACAACTGAAGGTGACCGAGCCGCCCGCGGAGAGCCGAGGCTTCACAATACGTGTTTCTGGAGGAAAGGTCAAAGGGCAGAGCTCTGGTCGGGACCGGGCCTCACCGAAGAACTGTCCGCGGTCGCAAATGCATGGAAGTGCATCGTGGTTCACGGCTCGTGACACCGGAAGGGAAGCGCTTTGAAAGAGGCCACGGGCGCACAGCTGAGGCGCTGCTCTTCACATCTTTGAAGGTGTGAAGGTAAAAAAGCCCCCGGGTTCATGTGACGGGCCGCCTGCTGCCCTTCGGGGGGGGCTTTGATATGGACCAGAGGGGGTCAATCGGGGCCTCAGCTGTGGGAAAGAGCAGAGAGCTTAACGGGTCGGAGCGCAGTACACGGCAGGTGCTGGAGCTGTGATCATCACCTCCGCTGAAGAAGCTGCGCGGTCTCTCCGTCTCTCACTGTCCAACTTGGAGTAACGTCGTGAAACGGGTCCGGATTTAGCGCAGAGAAGGTCTCGCTGCAACGTAAACGGGCGGAGCGGCCATCTTGGATTACGAGGGTCGGGGAATTGCGTTCTTCTGACCGTTTGCGATGGAAATTCGCCTCGCGGTTCGGGCCGGCACGTTGAATGTTGTTCTGGGATCCAAATGCGCTCAGAAAACATGCAGCGTCGTAACCGCTGCGGCTCCTCCTAGTTACACGCCAGACGCACAGGTGTTCCAGACCGGTCACATGAGCCCAAACGGGCCTCTGGAGGCGGACGGATCAGAAGGAGACGCCGGCGCTCCGCGGGCCAAGTGGGCCGGTTACTGTTTATTTGGAATTAATTACCGAGGAGAGTGGAAACCTCGCCGTTCCCAAAGAGGGAATCCAGACACTAAGGGGTTCGGAGGGGGGGGGGGGGGACAGAGAGGATGACGTGAGTTATGTAGAGGAGGACACAAAAGCCCGGATGGATGTGGTGTGGCGGGCGTCCTTGGTGTGATGCCATCAGCTGTTCTCACGTTCCAAGAGTTGAGAGCGTTTATCTCTTGACGCCTGTGAGAACGGAGCACCCCCCCCCCCCGGCCCCCCGGCCCCCCGACCCCCACAGCACGGCATGCACGCATAGAATCCACCAACACGAGTCTCTTTAAAAGCTGCTCTTTTTATTGTATCTACCTTCTTTAAAAAGGGGGGGTGGGGGGGTGAGGGGCTGCATCACTGCCTTTTCTTCACTATGCTAAAGTTCAGTTTGCATGCAGTGAAATAAATGTACAAGTGAGACCAACGCAATAAATTAGCATATAATTTACATTTGAAAAAGAAAAGAGTAACAGTGTACCAACATTAATACTGAATATAAAATATACGCAACTGATCACATGACGCTTTTCATTTCTCTTTAGGTACAAGCAATGTGACATTCAAACATCCAAGTTCACAGCAACGAGCACCAGTTTGAGTGATTGTGTTTATCTGGAGGCGCCGCGTCGGCCCTCAGCGTCGCTGTCCTCACTCAACCGATAAAATCCACATCGTCACACTCAAAGTGGCTACGACAAAAATAAAAGTAGCAGCAGCAAAAAAAAAAAAAAAATGAGAAATGAGTTTTTGTCAACGGCCTGGATGAGATTCTCGCGCGCTCCTCAATGTCTCTCGGGGGTTTCCCTCGGGACTCCTCCTGCGGCCCCGCGAGGAGCGGGGAGGCGCCGCCATTCGCGACCCCCGCGCCCCCCCCCCCGGCAGGGAGGTCACCCGGGGCGAGCCGAGCGTCCGCAAAAAAAAACCGCGGTTAACAATGAAACTTGCCAGTGTGAGGTATAAACCGATATCAAAAACAACAGCATGACCAGCATTCACCAACACAGACATTAACAAAGATATTATTTCAGATTGTTTGGATCCAGACTCACTTTTAAGCCCACTGGGGGGGTCGAATGGAAGCACCCACTTGATAGCACCAGAAGCCGGGAGGCCGTAACCCTCGGAGCAGAGCGGGAGAGGAGGAGAGGTAAATAAGAAGAGGAGGTACGGGGGGGACGGGGGGGACGGGGGGCTCAAGCCTGAAAACGTGTTCTAGTGTTTGTATATTCAGCACTTTACTTAAAGGAACAGTTAAGGCCTTTTAGAAATGAACGCGGATTCATTTCCCTGCTGAGGATGAGACGAGAAGTTGGACGCTGCCCTCGTGGTTGTAGACCAAATAAAAGACCACGCGCAGCACAGTTAGCTTAGCTTAGCATAAACACTGGAAACGTCGTCACTCGGAAAAACACAAATCATGTTTTGTTTTTATGTTTTCACGCAGCCATGCTAGCTGTTTCCACCTGTTTCCAGGCTTTATGCTAAGCTAAGCCTGCTGGCTAAAGCTTCATATTTACAGTTCAGACTTTAAGAGGTTTATTCTCATCAAACTCTCGGGCAAGAAAGCAAATGCAAACTATTCCTTTAAACCTCATCATCAGCTTTATAAATACAGGAAGTATGAAAACCTCTGATTAAATAATCGTCCAGCCTAAAAGACGAAGCGACTGCACTGAGGGTCCAACGAACAAACTGCTCGGCGGGATTTGCTCCTTCAAACGAATCCTTCACTAGAGACGGCGTGTTTGGTCGAGGCCAGTTCGGTGAAAGTTTCCTGCTTTAGATTTCAGCGTTAGGAACTAAGGCACCCGTCTGAGGGAAGACCAAGCGAGTAAAGCGTCCTCCTGTGACCTCCTGGTCCTGGATCAGCATCATATAGAGTATACAAGGGTTTGGCTATGTAATATTTCACTCCAGCACAGGGCGGTTGGACATGAACTCACTCACATTATACTCCCCTCCATGACAGTAGGCCACTATCTGACTATACCTCCCTCTGCCTGGAGTTGTACAATAAATATACAGTACAGCGATGGGGTTTCTCTGTCCGATCCGAGCGCTAAATTGGCATTTAAGTATTTACACGGAAAAAAAGTGCACCGGAGCCAAAAGTCTGTCTGCCAATCGCACAATCACAGTCGCCCCAAAGACTGGAGACCCCCCCCCCCCCACCCCCCACCCCCACCCCCACACACACTCGCCCTCCCCTCCGTCTCTGTGTGAGCGACGTGTCCAGCACTTTGGATTCATTGAAAACAACAAACGCGGAGGAAGACTTAACAACGACATCGATAATTATTATTATAATAAAAATAACACCACCGGCGAAAAATCTTCCAACTTCCACTTCACAGAAGTGACGAGATAGAATCAGTCTGTCAGCGCCGGGTGGGGCGGGGGCGATGGAGAGACCAGAGGTTTTCTTCTTCTTCTTCTCTCCCTTCCTCCCTCCTCCTCCGCAGCGCTGCGTCAGCCTCCCTCCGTCGCTGTGGGCGGGGCCTCCGCTGGGCGGGGCCTCCGCTGGGCTCTCGCAGGCGTCAGTGTCCCTGGCAGGTCCTGCAGCACATCTGCCTGAAGTACGCACGGCTGCAGAACTTGAACTTCAGCACCAGCGGGCAGTAGGCCACTTTGTTCACATCTTTGCACTCTGCAGGGAGAAAGGAGAGAGTTTTTTTGGGGGGGGGGGAGGGAGTGAGGAGCTGTGCTGTATTTTGGAGTAGCTCTGTGTTATGAGGCGAGCTGCTTCCAGACGCACAGGTGATCGGCACATTCCACTCGCAGAACATTCTCCCAGAATGTCGCTTAAAACACTTCTGAGCAAAAAAAAATGGTATTAAACCAGTTTGTGAAGTTTGAAATGTAACTCACTCAGCAGGAAATGACAGACATGTTATTAAATACCAAATGAATATTATTATTACAGGGGTTTAACCTTTTCTGACCCTTTTGATACCACATACATTTAATACCAAAGCATGAAAGTCGTGCACTGCACTTTGTCATGTTGTCATCGTAAAGCAAAACGAGTCTCATAATGACTTTAAGTTCCCCTTGAATCCTTGAAACGAGTCCTTCTGGAAACACCTTCAGCGCGGTCAAACTCTGCAACTATACTTGGACGCAGAGGCTGAAGCTGATTCTGGGCTCGTTCGCTAACTGGGCTTCCTGCCATCCCTCCACACGCACACACACACACACACACACACACACACACACAATGAATGCCTTATCACGATGAGAGTGTCTTCCCTTATTAGGCTTTGGCCCCCGGCCTCCGCGGAGCCAAATGAGACGAGACGTTGCCTCACTGCTGTCCGTAAAGGAACAATTAGCCTGCCGCTAATCCCATTAGCCGGCCCTGTAAACGCTGCTCACGTTTTCCATCCGGGCTAATCGAAGGGCCCTTCTCTACGCGTCCCAACGGCCATCCATCATGTGCGAGCGTGCGCGGAGCGGCCGGGCCGCTGACCAGCGGCCAACCTCCCTGGAAAGATTAATGACGCTGGCAGAGCGTCGAGGAGCGTGTCATCCGAGTGGGAGGCGGACAGCTCATAACCACCTCGGGCGTGACGGCGCAGGATGCCCTCACCGCCGCCAGAGCGGGTTTAGAACACACAAAGAAGCAAACCGGCCCGCCGGCGCCGCCGTGGTCTTACCGTCGCCGTTGGAGACGGGGGTGGCGTCGCACTTGCTCTCGCACTGCTGCATGGTGGCGGGTCGGAGGGACTCGGCGCAGTCGCCGGAGGGCTGCCCGGTGTAGGACAGACACGTCACCGTCCTCATCTGCTGGCCGAGGCCGCACTGCGCCGAGCACTGTGGACAGAGAACACGCGTGTCATTGTGTGTGTGTGTGTGTGTGTGTGAGTGCATCCCCTTGGATTCCCGCCAGGTCGTCACTCCTCTTTAGACCTCATGAGAGTATTAAATGTTGATCTGTTGTAATGAATACAAACATGCCTCCTTTAGCATTTGGACTAATTCGATGGACTCGCCTCAAACAGAACTGAGGGAGAAAACGTGGAATTCTTTCCTTGAACTGAACCCAGACTGCGCACCTGACTTCTATAAAGCTGTAATAAAAACGTGTGCCCGTTAAACTCCTCTAGCAGTAGAAAAAACAACTACAAAAACAAAGGCGGCAGATGCCGACACACCTTTGGCCTTGGATGCATCGCCATGGTTACTGTTGAGCAGAAACAACGCACCTGCGTTCCTCTCGCTACGCCGCGCACGAGCGGCCTCCCGCCACCTCCCATGAGCCCCACGTGGCGGCCTCGGATCAGCGGGCCCTCGCGTCATCCCTTGCCAATTAGAGTCTTTATTAGGACCCGCTGCCGGCCACGACAGATGGCGTACGTCAATGGTGCGACTTAAATGGGGTTTGAACCGCTGGCCTTTGGGCCTTGGAAGGCCGGGAGCTCGCTAGCTGGCAACAATCTGCCTTTTCTGACGCTTTAAAGGAACCGGAGCGGCGAGGGCTGAACTCCTAATAACAGCCCCAAAGAATGGAGGAGGAGGAGGAGGAGGTTGGACAAACACACGCACCCCGGTGCTGGAGGAGAAGGTGGTGTGGAGGAGGCGCTCCAGCTGCTGCTCTACGAGGTTCTAAGCCGCTCGGCTCCTCGAGGTCATCGGCTCTGCTGTGTGCTCCGCTCTCATTGGCTCTGATCGGGTTGTTGAAGTGCGTTGTTGATGTCCGCCGACGCACAAGTGGCCCTTACGAGGAGGAGGAGGAGTCGTCGACCCCCCCGGACCCGCCCGACCTTTAACCTTTGACCTCCGACCTGAACAGCGCGGGCCTCAAACCATGACATCACCGGAGAGTGACCATCTCTCAAAACAGCAGAGCGCCCTTTACTTTTACCGAGCATCAGCAGATCCTGGGAAAATAACACGCGCAGCTCTTCTGTGACGCACGTTCCTTTGGCGCCCCCCTCCCGTCCTCCCCCCACCTCACCCCCTCCGGGCCGTGAGTCAGCGGAGTGTTATAGAGTGTCGAAGAGCCTCGCCGGGCGCACTAAGTCATGTCAGGTTGAGCCCAAGAATGCTACTCCTCGGCCTCCCTCTGAATCGTGTTCCTGGAAGTGAAGGTCCCGGGCAGATAAACTTCAAACGGCCCAGGAGGATATTAGAGCGCCGATCACTGACTCCAGGCCAGCTGGAGCCCTCACACACACACACACACGTCACAGGCCTGCTGAACGTCTCATCCAGGAGTAATTTATACTAAGCATTCACCAACACATGGAATCCATCTGAGCACCTTTTGTCTTTTAAACATCCAGGCCATCCTTCCAAAGGATCCGCCAGCGTACTGCGGAACAGTTCGACCCCAAATCCACTGGTCTTCTTACCTGTTGCAACGTCTACCGGCCTACATTGTTCTGGTGTGAGCTGGAGATACCGTCAACCCTCGAGACGTCGGCCGTCTCTCCGATATAATGGACCTGGGACAAACAGCTGAACAAAGTGGCGCCGCCGCGTCTCACCTGTCCCCATTCACCGGGGATCCAGCGAGGGGGCGGGCAGCGCCCCAGGCTGCAGCGGATGCGGACCGGCGGCTTGTTGTGGCTCGGGCAGTGGGCGGGCGGGAAGGTCTGGCGAGGTCGCTGCTCTTGCACAAGGCGATGCGGTGCTTGAAGCCGGGGCCGCACTTCGGCGTGCACTGCGCGGGCGCAGGAGAAGGTGTCAGGAGAGGACTCGCCTCGGAGGGGCCGCCGCAGACTCAGAATGCCATCATACCTCGGACCAGTCCAGGGTGACCCACTTGGGCGGGCAGGACTGGTTGTTGCAGGCCTCGCGCTCCATGGGCCGGTGGGTCAGACAGTGGGTGTCCTCCAGCGTCTCCTCCTCGGCGGGACCCATCTTCCTGATGCACAGGACCGTCCTCGTCCTCATGCCGCCGTCACACGTCTTCCCGCACTCCGACCAGTCGCCAATGAACCATCTGGAGGACAGAGAGGGACGGGCTGAGGCGGGCGGAACCGCTCCTGAACTTGTAGAAGATCAGGTTTGTTGTCTGTGTGTCTGATTACAGATGTTTAAATTATAATATTATGTTATAATGTGTCGTGAAAGCCATATATATATATATATATATAATCTGGAGAAAATAAACTGCACAGAAGAAGCAAAACCAGCGGTGTAATACTGCGTGTACCGGGGCGCTGTACTCCCCGTGGTTAATTCATTACAGGCTTCGATGGGTGTAAAATCGCCTCATGCTTCTGACTTCATTAAAGTGGGATTACCAAAAAACCTTTTGGGGACCAACTGAAATACATTTAGTCTCAAAAAGGGTTGAATGAATAATGTTTACCTGAAGCAGACACATCGTGGACGTTGTGTTTAAACATTTATGCATCTGGAGAGGCTTTCGCCTGACCTCATCATGTGACTCTACGAGCCAATCAGGTTCCACCGATTCTGAAGAATCAACAGCGTGTTTACTTGAAGTAGCCACATCTGCAAAGGATGCCTTCGTCACCGTGTAGTTCATCAGGTAATCATACGCATCCTCCGTGAAAGAAGTTTACGTATCCATTATTTATTTGGCGTATTCAATATAATGTGAAAAGCCGGTGGTGGGGGACTGCTTGCCCTGATTAAAGTTAAAAAACTCACCTAACAGATTGTATCTCGTTAGTTTAATCTGTACACAAACGCATTTAACATCCAACAAAACGTGACGATGGCGATAAACTGAAAGCTGAGTTTACAGTCTTATTCAACCCACAGTCAACAGACCCCAGAATTAATACCATAAAACTGGCCAGACAACACATCCAGCCGGGGAGATATTACGTCATCTCAAGGAATGTATACAGAATTAACGACGTGTTCAAACATCTGCGCTAGCTTTCATCACCGCGGCCCATAAAACCTCGGCTATTCTAAAACAATCGTGTTTACGCCGTCTCCTTCAGCCGGCCTCCCCCGAGGCCGAGGGGGGGGTCACGTGTGCACCGTAACCCAATACACACACACACACAGCGCACAGCCTTTAAGTACTAATCTAAATAAATTAGCTTGAGAACTCTAAGCTGTGACTATAAATAAGACTGCAGTCTAAATGTACGGATGCAAATGAGCACTTACACAGTAGATCTAAGATTCTATACGTGTTTCTCTCGGATAAGTCTGAAGCTAATCAACCTGATGCATTTAATCCCTCTTTTTCCAGTCTACAGTTTGGGGTTTACAGACATTTGGCTATCAAACACTGGTCCATATTCCACCTGTGTACGTGCACGTCACCCCTCGACGACGGCGCCGCGGCCAAAACAATCAAACACAGGTGGTCGGTTTTTAGTGCTCTAATTGTTGGCGCGAGGCAAACTCTTAAGATAGTTAACATATGAAGTTATGAATCTCGGCCATTTTCTTTTTATTATTCTGGACAAAACACAGTTGTACAAAGTGGGGCTCATGAAGGGTAATTAATACCCACAGCAATCTCTTTTCAAGGAGGAGGTTTTCTTATTAAAGCATGAACATAAAGCAATATTTCAATATGCGTAATGCTCAAGGTTTAGCAAACCTACGAGGAACCATTTCTGCTCAGCTTTACGCAGCATTTTAGCTCCTTTAAGCAAATCATTTGGCCAAATAGGAGACGACCAACTGGTGAACATCGCGGAGCATTTAGCAGCTAAAAGAGAGAAATGTTTGCCTCTGGAGGAGGTGGAGACCAAAGGCCGAGCTAAAAGAGAGAAATGTTTGCCTCTGGAGGTGGTGGAGACCAAAGGCCGAGCTAAAAGAGAGAAATGTTTGCCTCTGGAGGAGGTGGAGACCAAAGGCCGAGCTAAAAGAGAGAAATGTTTGCCTCTGGAGGTGGTGGAGACCAAAGGCCGAGCTAAAAGAGAGAAATGTTTGCCTCTGGAGGTGGTGGAGACCAAAGGCCGAGCTAAAAGAGAGAAATGTTTGCCTCTGGAGGTGGTGGAGACCAATGGCCGAGCTAAAAGAGAGAAATGTTTGTCTCTGGAGGTGGTGGAGACCAATGGCCGAGCTAAAAGAGAGAAATGTTTTGCCTCTGGAGGTGGTGGAGACTAATGGCCGAGCTAAAAGAGAGAAATGTTTGCCTTCTGGAGGTGGTGGAGACCAATGGCCGATCCTAAAAGAGAGAAATGTTTGGCCTACAGTCATTAGCTGGTGAGGGTTCTGGTACTTTCAGCTACTCACAAGTGACCATTTGACTTTCTTTGTATTGTATGTTGTTGTCAAATTACACATTCATGTGTCACATTGGATCAGCTGATAATGAGGTAATGAGGTTGTTACTTACTCTGGAGGACACGGCTCAGTGTTGCAGTCTCTCTGGTTCTCTGGAGGTTTGCTGTCTGGGTCACAGTAGTTGTTCTGGACCACCGAGTTGTCGTCCAGCCTTTTACACACCACCTCCTGCTTCTGGGAGCCTATCGGCGGGGGTGGGGGGACAAAAGACGGATCAATGAGGCAGCACCGAGCTCGCTGACTTTAAAGAAACCCCATTCAGGAACATGGAAGCCGGCCGCGGTGTCGCTTTCAGTCTGTAGTAAATCCAGACATGTAAATTCCTGATTCTTTGCAGGATATCTTGGCAAATCACTTTTACAGAGCAGAGAGCTCTTTACTTTGGCTTCTAATGGAGAGAGTGAGGGCTACCGTATCGGTGTCACACCTCCCACAGTGTGTGTGTGTGTGTGTGTGTGTGTGGCATACCAGCTCAGAAAAAGGGTCTGTTTGGGCCCATAACCCACAGCAGACGTGTCTGGCAGATGTAATGAGATATGGATGTGTGTTAGAAAATCTACCCATCTGTGCATGGAGTGAAATACAGTTTGCAGGAGCAGTGTGAAGCACGGGGTGAAAAGGGTTTTGGTTGTATGGTTGTCAAATTATTTATTACGGTAGTGATATATTAAGCAACGCGATTAGCTGAGCGAGCTGTATCGAATGGGCGCGTTTGATTTAATGACCTTACTGGCTTAAAGGTCAGCGCGGTCACAGACAGAAATGGGACCAACAATGCAAAGAGGCATGTTTACTCCAACATGTGTGCTCCCCCCCCCTGAGGAGAAGACCTGGACATCCCTCCTCAGAAAAAAAACCCACATGCTTATTCAGTCATGCTTTTACTAAATATTACAAACCTGTCCAGGCCACACTTGACATTCTGAGAAGAAACACACTATTTATTGTTACATGAAACCCATTGCTTTTGGGCTAAAGGGTTTGGTTTAGTCATTCTTGAGGCGGCGGGCAACGTCTCCCTGCGGCCTCAGACTTTGAATGTTTGACTTTGAGGAACCGGCGCGGTGGAGGAGCGTCCGTATCTGTCCGCGGCGTTGGTAAACCAGAAGCTATGCAGCGCAGCTCATTCACAGAAATTACAGCATATTCATTACTCTGGCCAAAATATGGAAAATACATATTGAATTTATTAGAGGGCGGAATCTCATGCTATAAAGTCATGATTTTGGAAAGCTATCGCAAATTATGATACTGGGTTTCCACACGCTGCTCCTCGACATTTGTGTAATTACTGGTTGGGGGAGATTTACAGAAGGACACACACACACACACACGAGATATGAAGTATTAAATATTTGAGAAGGTTAGAAATATGCACAAGGAATTTAGACCCAGAGTGTGTTATGCTGTTGGAAAAGCACCAAAATGCCAAGAGGCTCGTTTTGCAGAAGACAACTGGCCACCAGAGCTGAGCAGAAGGTCGACGCTCGAGTTCTTCTCTCAAGGAAAAGTAACGCGACGGAGAGGACAGACTTACCTCCAGCGCAGGTAGCTGAGCATTCAGACCAGGGCAGGTAGTGCCAGGAGAAGCCCACCTCGTTGTCACCACTTCCTGTGCGCTGGATGGGCACGTTGAACTTGTAGCGTATTCCCAGGTTCTGCTCCTGCAGGAGGACCTGCAGAGGGAGCAGCGAAAGGAGACACGCTCAGGACCAGAAGGTACTTTGCGTGCTATTCATGTACCATCCGGTGATGATCATGTGAGGGTTAGTTATCTACCAGCCCCGCCCCTTTTCTCATCACACGCAGATCGCTGCAAAAACATGGACTCATATTTTCACAGCCCACTTTGTCGAGGTTCTGGTGGACTTGTATTACTCTGCTGGATGCAGAAGGAGAGCGGTGGAGTCACGCTCTGCGGTGCAGCGCCCGTTGCTGTGTGGTCAGGTATTTTCTACCGCCGCGCGTTACGACAGAACATCAGTTGCCTCACATTGACACACGGACCGGCAGAGAAGCTTGTCGTGGAACCTATTTAATCAAAGCAGCATTTGATATGCACGAGCAACTCTGGTGCAGAGGCTCTACAGATGAAGAAGAAACTTCAGTATCCACGTACAAATAGCTTTTTAACCTCAGCTGACGGCCACCTAAGGTTAGCAGCCAGATGTTTGAGTGGACTTAAAATGAACTAGCTATATATACTAGAAGATATTTTAGTCCAAGTTACCAGGAAATGAAAGTCCCATTCATCTTCTGCATGCCGCGGCAAACTGACCACGGTTTAAACAGTTCAACCCACATTAAATCTTGTTATAATGCAGATGTGACAACAAGGTGAATGGTGCCTGAGACCGATATTTCCCCCAGGAGTCGGAGGAGACCAAAAACAGAGCAAAAATCAGCTGGACACAAACAAGAATCCGATTAAATGATGCGTTTGGAGACGGGCGACCGCCACATTAACCTGAAAGGTGATCTATTATCATGGTTGAGCCACGTAAATATGAGACATTGAGGATTCAAACCAGTCTATTTTGTTACCATGACAACCAGGACTTCAGTGGTCGCTCCCAGCGCCTCCAAGGACTCGGGCTCATCGGAGGGTCTCTTGTAGTGGAAGGCCGTCCCCGCGATGTCAAACTTCCTGGGCCAGTCGATGGTCCACGCCCCGTTGATGTAGTAATCATCCACTTCGGATTTCAGCGCTACGCAGTTACAGAAAACGAGACGGGCCGTTTCAGAGAGAGAGAGAGAGAGAGAGACGGAGCAGACGGGCAACGGTAGCCCAGGCAACAGGCGGAGACAATCATCAGCTGTGATGTCATCGCCAACTTTCACCACCATCATCATTTGCAGCCTCTCTGATGTCAGCTTTCTGAGATCAGACGTGTACCGACATGTACGTGTAGGTCTAATTTAGGAAGAGAAGGAAAACACGCTTCAGGTGAAAGCCCGGGCCGATCTCATGAATACAACTTCTGTCTGGTTGTCAAAACAAAAGTCGGTCTCCAAACACAACAGATCTCAAAATATCCACTTTCTCTGCCTCGAAACGCGGGGCCAAAAGTCCGGAAAACCGATCCGACCGCCCGCTGTTCTGTCTCTCTGGCTCGCGCTCCGCAGACCGCCCCCCCCCCCCCCCCCCCTCCCTCAAACAATAGTTTACTCCTCTTTAAAATACCACAATCCCCTTCTCAATAAATTCATTTTCAGCACATCTGGCACTGATTGCTAGCATTGTGATTTTGCTCGGTGCAGTTTACACAAGTCTCCACAGGCATCCCGCTCTCTATTTTTATATTGTCTTGCTCAGTTTGGGCTTTAATAAAACATTGCAAAAAACTTTGCTGACCTAAATAGCAAGTTCAGACTCAGACAATGGTGCAAAAGACGAAATATCATCTCAAACACTGGGGTCACAGATGAAATTCATCACTAGGTTACAGATTACTTGGAAGGGACAATGTAGTCCGGCACGTCAGCCAAAATTGCACTCTTTAAACTTTGATATATGGACATCATATCCCCCATAATCCTCGTGGAGCAGGCAGCTGTCACCACGGCCCTATAAATCTGATGCAGCTCTCCGGTTCAAAGTGTAACTTAAGCCCTCCATCAACACCATCCGCTATAAATTCAACACGCTGTCACATGTCTTTTTCTCGATAATGAAAAGACACCGAACAGGCTTAATTGAATTCGGTCGCTTGGGGTCCGACGCTGCCGCGGTTGCAAAACACTTTTTTGTTTAGTCTGGACCGTGGCGGATGAGTCGGCTGCCGAGAAGGCCGTCACGCGTTAAGATTTCAAGGAGGATTTCACAGACGGCACCTTCTAGTTTGCTCTGGACAGATGGAAACCCCTGGACGGAGAACCGAGCGGACAACACGAAACAGCTTAATGAGACTGATGCAGAGTCGACTGCATTTCCACTGCCTCTGAACCAAAGGCATGTCATGCTTATCATGAGCGGCTGCCATTAGCTGTGCATGTATTTGGTCGTGAACTGAAGCGAATGATTCGTCCTCAGGGGGACATGAATGTCTGAACCAAATTTGATGGACATCTATCCAATGCTTGTCAAGGCATTTTACATAAAAACTACAAACACCGAGCTCCCAGCGAGGCTTTTTGGAAGCAAAATCAGTGAGCTTCATCCTCTGGGGAACATGAACATCTGTACCAAATTCCATGACAATCCAGCAAATAGCTGTTGAAATATTTCACTTGAAACCACAGACGCTGACCGTACGTTGGTGGTAGAGGGAATGTCTTGTAATCGACAAAGTTACTGTGATTAATCTTCTGGGGAACACAAAGGTTCGAACAAAACTGCCCAGTAGATTGAGTGATATTTACGAGGATAACTAATCACTTTGCCCTGCAGATGGAGCTAGAGGAAATGCCAGGCGGTCCCAAAAGTAGTTAGGAGTCATCATCTGGGGAACATGAATATAGGTACCAATGTATTGCCATCCATCTAACAGTTTGCATCATTTATCAGTTGTGGTGGTAGCGCAAGAGGGAACGACAGTGGATCTCCAAAGTCATTGAGCATCATCCTCTGAGGACCATGAATACCTACATTGTGTGCCATCAAGTACTGGTTAATATATTTAACTGGATCACTATTATCTTTGCCTTGCCGATGGTGCTAGAGGAAATGCCACGGGGTCCCAAAGGTCGTGGCGATTTATCATCTGGAGAACATGAAAAGTCCAGTTTCATCGCAATCCATTTGATAGCTGGTTCTTTCAGACCTCCAGAAGGAATGCCAGAGATGGACACCTTGACTGCTTGCATCAAATTAAATGAATTGAATCGCTCAGGCAGCGGTGACATCACCGTGGCAACCCCCGAAGGCGACGCGACTCACCGATGTAATTCTTCGACATGGCGACTTCTTTGATCTCGATGTGAACGGATCCTTTTGGGATCTGAACCACCTCCATGTAGCCTGGAGGAAGGAGCACAGCCGTCAGGAAGGGAGACATTTCTCCCACTTGTACTGAGAGAGAGTACGTATAGAATAAATGCACGAATCTCCCAAAAAAGGACAACGCAGGAGGACAAAATCCCCTCCTTTTTTTTTTACAGTCACACGCACACACATGGACACACAGTATTTTTAGATGGTTTACTAGCCATACCATAGAAGGAGAAATATGTTTTCTCCCTCTGGAACTCTCTATAGACAACCTGAGGCTAAAGCCGAGCACGTCACTATCTCTGCTGCTGATTCCTCCGCTCCATGATGTCATTAATGGGAAGAAATATGATGTTTTGATCTATATTCTGACAACATAATTCTAAAGAGCCCAAAACATATCGCTCAGCGAGTAACAAAGAACCAAAAAAAAAAGAAAAAGAAAGTGCACGTTTCCATGAAGGATTATCTTCCCGGCTCCGTGGAGGTTTTAGCCCAAAAGCTTTGCCAAAAAGGGTCGAAGAGTTACTTTGCTTTTACTCACAATCTTCTGCCTGAAAGCAGCAGCTCAGTAAACAAATGGAGATCTACGAGGCGACGGAACATCTAAACAGGTTTTTAGTGTCTTTTTTTTTTACCTCCTCTGGGCAGAGAGTCGTTGAAGAGGCCCTCGGTGGCCTCGCAGGTGCTGCCGTCGCCGCCGCACACGCGGCACCGATCCTCTTTGGCGTCCGAGCTCAGGACGTTGTCGCAGCCCACGTGCTTCAAGGTCGGAGAGAGAGTGTGAATTTGAAGGCGGGTTGAAGGATTTAGGGGCATGTAACGTTTTTTTTCTTCTTTTTTTAAGTTGACATGTCGTCACCCTACATGTTAAAGGACGTTGGATAACACTCGCCCGCTTGACGTTAGCCAGTTAGCTTAGCGCGAAGACAACGGCATCAAAGCCAATCGACACAATGCCTCCCTGGTCCCTGTATAATCCGCTCCCTACTTTTCTCTTTTATTTCAAAGGTTTCCAAACATCTTCAGCGGGAACTGATGTCCGTGGACCTCAGGCAGGGCAGGAAGGCCTTTCAGACGCAAACCAACCCGTTGCTTTTGGTCTCATTTTGTCCACAAACACAGCCTCACTGATCACAGCCCCAATTGCTGTTGACTTGGCAGGTCGCTGCGTGTAAAACATGCGAGCGCTCATAAAACGTGACGGGTTTAAACGAGCCGTCGTAACAAATGAAAAGTTGTTGGCTTCGTATATATTTTAAGTGTGCAGGCCGCATGGAGCCCATTAAATATTCTATTTCTGCACAGTTTGCCGCGATCACTTCGTCACTGCTTGACCGGTAGAGTAAAGCCTCGCGGCTTACGGAGCGGCGCCGTGAAGCAGATTCTGATTGCAGGCCGAGAGCCGTGTTTTGTCTTTTTGAGCTTCCGTAGACTCGTTCAGGCCAATTAGCAACGTAGCAAATGTTCTTCCACTTCCCAGTTCCCTTCGATGCGACACGTAGCACATCGCGCACATCTGTAGCAGCTGCAGAGATTAGCTGGTTAATAACGACTCTGTAAGGTGTCCATCGCCATGCGTCCTCTCTGCGTGTGCAGCACCTGCGAGCGGCTCGCTGAAAGCTTTCCAAGAAGACGGCGTCCTGGAGATTTATCGCCAACGACGCGCTGGATCCAGTCTGGGATAAAACCTGCTATGCTCCTTCGGTGGGCAATATTCCACCGTATTCCCCATTAAGGAACACGCACTATGTTGTGTTTTTGCATTAAAATCAAAGTAATGTTCTTGGCACGGGCGCTGCGTGTCGGCTCCAAGCGATGCGGTCGGGTGTAAGTCAAAGCAAATACTCGGAGCGAGGAACCAAAAAGTTATTTCAGCTGCGTTTCGGAGAAGAAAACGCACCCTCGTCTCCGCACAGGGCGAACAAAGTGATTTATGCTCATGGAAACAAAGACGGCATCCGCTGCCAGCTCCTTTCAATGAAATGCTATTAAATCAGCCTTTTTTAAATATACATAAAATCATTATTCAATCACGACAATGATTTTGCTGTTTTATTTATCGCTAAAGAATTGCGTCCGCGGCTGCAGAGGCCCGATAAGAGTCGGTGAGCGCACAATGAGCCACAAACAGCAGCTCGGAGGCCCCGATTGTTCTTCACTGGAGAATCGCGTTCACGCCATCAGCAATCTGGTCAACTGTGCGATTCAGAGATTTAAAAGAAAGAAAATGTAAAAAAAAAAAAAAAAAAGCTGGCACGGAGGCTGAGGAAACGCGGGTCAGACAACACGCCACTGCAGACGTAATTATGTGAAAGGATCAGAGGCCACTGAGGATGACGTCCTGCCGTGTCAATCTGCTGTTGGAGCGTCTCTATTGGCTCCGTTCATGGAAAAGAAACCTGAAGTACGGAACCATCGCGCCCGAATTCCCCATCAGTGGAGAAGACTGCCACTTGAGAAAAAAGACGCTTCCTTGCACTCTCCGTTGATGCAGATATCCAGCGAGTCGACCTGGCACCCCGTCCCTTCCACCACGGCCGGAGAGCCCTCGGTGTAGAAAGTTGTAGCCTCGGCCAAGCAGTTCAGCGCGCAAGGCTTGACGCCACCTAGAGTCCCACATAAACAACACGGAGTCACCCCGAGGGGGGGGGGGGAGGGGTTCAGACGACGCGACCCCCCCTGACCGCCACTGGCGGCGGCTCCAGGGATCTCCATCGCCGCTCGTTTGGCGATAGCGATCGCGCGGAGGAAAGTCAGCGGCGCTCAGATCCCCGGCGAGGGTTATCTGCGGCCGCCGGCGGTGCGAACCCGGGAGGCGACGGATTCCACGAGGCGATAAAAGAGATCCGACTTGAGCTCTTCCCTCGCCGAAGGAAGATAAAAGCCCTGTTTACATGCTTCAGACTCTTTATCGCTTGTTCTCGTGTGTTTGAAGTGGATATTTTCCATGACACCGGGGGGGAGGGAGGGGGGGACACACAAAGCACCGACTGCTAAACTCCCGCCAGGGGATTGTTGGACATGAAGTGCGTCGGGACGGTTGTCAGGAGTGTGAGAATCTCTCCCGGCCACGGAAGGCTCCTCCGTGCAGGAATCCGAGGAATTCTGCTCCCACTGAACTGTCGGCGTTGAGCGGGAACACGAGACAGTGGTGACGCAGAGGGGGACGTTCTCCTGAGAGGAGACTAAAGGTGCCGAAAGCAGCGAGTTAACCGTGAGCCTGCTGACTGCGGATTCACGCACCGCCGCGGCGGCAAAGTTACCGGTCCTGATCCTCCAAAACGAACCGGCCGAGAACCAGTGGAGAGCTCCTCCGTACCCCAAAGCACTCTGGGAGATTTTTAAATATATATTGTGATATAAAAACTGCTGGTTTCCAACACCTGTTTACTTGGAAGGTGGACTTTAAAGTCTCTTCACAGGAATCATCGGTGCCACCCGGGTCCCTGAACTCACCGCCGGTGTACGGCTTCCAGTTGTAGTACTTCCCTCGGAAAGGCATGAGGTCAAAGTCGGCGCACTGCTTCTCTCGGAAGTCACGAGACCCCGCGGCGCAAGCCTGAAAAGAAAATAGACACATGTAATAAATAAACACCGTTATTACCAAGCGGGCCGAGGCGCGTCCTCGCTCGGAAGGGTCTGCTGATGGAGAACCCTGCGTTCTGCGTCAGAAGGGTTCTCTCTTGGTGTCGGTGAGTGGATGTTGCTCCAGTGAGAGGAGGTAAGGAATAAAGACTTTATTGGTGTGAGAAGGTCCTTAGAAACCCGCCGAACACTCTCCCCGCGCTCTAATGAAAGCGCTCGGGTCAAAGCCGTATTTCAAATGAGTGCTCCGAACTCCCACTCCTGTGTTCCCATCAAGCACGCAGGTCGAGTCAGAAGAGACGGAATAAATATCATCCAGAGCCACGAGGCCAAACGGGATTTAAACGTCACAACTGGTGCTGGGAAGCCGGCGAGGATTTACCTGCTGGTTGTGTTCGGATTCATCCCTAATAAAGCGTTTATGTCACGGGGACCTGGACGCGTCTCGAGGTCCTCCCGACCAAAATGTTGACTTTTCAGATAAATCAGCTTTGGCGGCGATGAGCGCGCGGAGGAATTCTCTCTCTTTTCTTTTTGCAAATGGATCTTCAGCGTTCATGGCAACAAAAACCTTTCCTTTAAAGTCTATCAATCGCACATAAAAATGCACTTAGTCTCGCTACAGTGTTCCCCAGGTTGTCTACGGCTGGATCGCCCTTTAACGGCGACTGTGACCTGCCTGCCCGCATCCAATCAGAGAGCGGCGTCCTTGCATGCGGCGTGGTGCTGATGCAGGCAGCTTCACGGCATCCTGGGACGCACTTGTGCATGTACCCGTGTGTGTGTGTGTGTGTGTGTGTGTGCTCCTGGGGCTCACACACACACACACACGTGTGGTCGGCGTGATGAGAGAGCGGTTGGGGATGTTGTTTTGTTATTTGTAGGACTTTGCGGTTAAATGTCCACCAGGGCTCAAACTATGTCAAGTTTCACCTTCGGAGAAAAAGAAAGAAAACAGCTAGAAATAGTTGAACAGAGATCTCGACCTGCAGCCATGTTAAATATTTGTTCAGAGCTTTGCTCCAGACAAAAGACGTCTCTGCGTGAAATGTGCTCTGAAACTTTCATCCTCGGGGGGGGGACTGGAAGTAAAAATGCTCCAAACAATCCGCGAACGAAGTGACGAGGAGACGCGTGTCCCCCCGGGGGGGAGGTGTTGGATCTGACTGCTTGTCCGGCAGCGTCTGCAGGTCTGAACCGTCACCAAACACAGCCTCCATCGGCACCCTGTCACTTTGTGAAAAAAAAGGGGAAGAAACTCACGTCGGTGTTGCAGGATCGGTAACGCTTCCTCTCGCCGAGGCAGTACTTCCCTCCTCCGGACGGGCTGAGAGACACAGGAGCAGCGAATGAGAAAGAGAGACACACGTGGCATCAGGGAGGGGGGGGGGGGGAGTGAGCACACGGTGTGTTTTGACTCGGCGACCTCGTCTCCCTCCCCCATCGCCCGTCGCCGATGCCCCCGGACGTCTGGAGAGACGCTTATGGAAGCGCACGGCGAAGGACCCCAGCGCCTGGCCTCGTGGCTGCGCGGGGAGGTGTCCAGGTCGACCTCGAACGAACCCCCTTTCGTCTGTCTCTTTTCGATGAAGAGAAAGCACAACCTCCCCCCCCCGCGGGCTGTCCTCCACCAAACTGTAGGTCGGCCAACACTCACACGGTTCTGACGGCCGATCGATCGGCCGATTTTAAGCGACGAGGATTTTTAGACAGGGAGCTTTGGACATCTCTTTGTATCACTCCATGAATCACCGCATGAACATTTTCTCCATATTTCTAGTGATAAAATGTTGTATGAAACGAGGCTCTGGGTGACGTGTGAAGAAACCCCCCCAGAGAGGAACGGAGCTGTAACGTTTGGTGGATGGAGAAGCTGCAGGAGATCTCTGGCTTAGGGATACATATATATATATATAATACTCATTTTAAAGAGAAGTTTAGTCACATGACCGACTGACAAGGGGACATAAAAATAAAGAATAGATGTCCCCATTAACATCAACATATTACTGACGTTAAGACCATTCATTTGTATCAGACTCCTGGTAGCTTTTGTTGAATTAAGGAGGAATCTACATATGCAACATGAACAAAGCAGTGAAATGAACACTTGTATTTTGGATGTTTCCTTTCCACTGGTCTGAAATAACCCAAAACAGCATGAAAATGACTTTGGCCGGAGTGTGTTTTCTTTCTATAAGAAGAAGAAATCTTACGTCTTAACGAAAGAGAAAGTAAAGCGTTTTCCCCCCCAGACACACACACACACACACACACACACACCTGTAGGCAGCTCCTGGATGTGTGTGTTCAGCTTGCTGTGGCTTACTTTGCCTACTTACGCTGGGCTGTCACAGTGCCTCATGGAGGAGGACACACCGCCCCCACAGGTCCTGCTGCACTCCCCCCACGTGGACCAGGGCCCCCAGCCCCCGTCCTCGCTCTGAGGCCACGTACCGAACGCCACACACTCCCCCTGGTAACACCACTGGGGGGGGGAGAGAGAGAGGGAGAGAGGGGAGCTCAGTGCTAGCGTTGGAATGAAGCGACCTAATATGATTACAGTGACCACACTGTGAGCTTATCAGAGCTGGATTGAGCCTCTCCGACGGCTTCTGCGTGGTTTTGTGTTGTTAGTGTCGCGTGAGCCGCATACAGAGGCAGGTGAGGGGTGCGAACCCGGCGCGCCTGCTTCAGGAGGGCATTAAGCCTCGTGCTAAGCCGCCCCCTCCGGCTCCAGGGAGGGGGGGGGGGGATCAGCCCCTCTGTCTCTCCGCCGGCGTCACTAGGTTGAGAAGACCGGGACGGGTCAAGGTGAGCCGGCCTCCTCCTCCTCGCGAAGACGCTCGTTCACGTCCTGAGACGCTGCCTAAACCAGATTAGCTGTGGGAGGACGGGGGGGGGGGGGACTGGTGGAGACACAGAGGGAGCGACCAACCAGTAAAACCCCCTGCTGCTGCTGGAAGGGCCTCTCTCCGCTACACGCCGGGGGAGAAATGGCTGACGTTCGTATTCCTTTGAAGCAAGGGCAGACAGGGTACGCCACTGGCTCCCCTAGAGCTGTTCCAAAGCCCCTCCCCCCCGGGCTCAACCTGGGGGCCCCCTGTGTTGTCCGGGGACCACGTCCGTGGGCCCCGGCCCTCAAAGGCTCCACTGAGCTAACGGTAACGACGGGTGACAGCTCGTCGCGCTCTGCTATTCTTCCCTTTTAGACCTCGGCCCATCCGGTGACAATGGCCGCCGTAATCCGCGTTAAAACCGCCTCCCCTAACCTGGCTGCCACCAGCAGTGGGCCGATGACCTAAAGCCTGGCCTGCACGGCTGTCAGTGTGTGTGTGTGTGCGTTGCATGAGCGCACACTCGGCGAATAGTGGCCCTCTCAGAGAGGAACAGATGTAAGTGGAGGCAGTGAGCTAACATTAGCCGCTGAGGCTAATTTCCACTAACAGAGAAGCTTTTTCTAACAAGGCTGTGTGATTAAAAATGTTCTTTCCTGCTACCTGATTTAATTGAGTGTCATCCGATACCTCGCATGGCGTATCGGATCCTCCCGACGTGGCGACTCACCCCCTTCTCGATGCTGCCCGTCTGGCACAGAGTCCCCTCGGCCGCGGGGATGCTGTTGGTGACACAGCGGTTGCTTTTGCTGAGGCACCAGAGCTCTCTACACACTTCCTGGGAAAGAAGGCAAAAGCAAGTTGGTCAGAATAAGTCAGAATTGGAGGAAAAAGGCGAGGGCCGTTTCTCGGTGGCACTTAGACGCTTCTCCCGACTGTTCGACCCCATAAAGAGCTGATGAGACGACGCTGGGAAACTCTCCCGGGCCGTGTGCTACGGATCGCCGTTGCCGGGGGGGGCGCCGTTGCTGTTGACTTACGAGAAGTGAAGAGTCAGCTGGATCAACGGATCAACGTTCGCTCACGTTCACCCCGGGACCACACGGGGCCGCGACATGAGCCCGAGAAATCTAATTTCTGCTTCTTGGGGGAAATAAAGAGTGAGCAACAGGCCCCCCAAGTCCGAGATAAAGACGACTTGTGGGCCTCACAAATATCTTTAGTATTACTGAGTGGTCTGAATAAACATCTCTGCAGCGTAAGGAGCATCCAGTTGGATTGCTAAAGGAAGGGAGTGTGTGTGAGTGTGTGTGTGAGGGAGATAGCGAGCAGACAGCACTAAGTTGCCCCCAAATAAATCAAAGCGTAAAGTGAACACACGTTACGAGGACGGCGCTGCACAACCTCGCATTGGATTCCCCATTAAACCGAGCCGGGTCTCCACTTCAAAGGCTTTTTACAGGACAATTGTGTACAGCAGAAGAGCGGGACCATGAAATAGAGTTACGACCCCCCCCTCCTCCCCACGGGGGTCAGCGAATAGGCTGCGGTCAGGCCGCCCAGATCAACCAGAGCGGCGAGCGGCGAGCTCGGTAGTCGCGGCGCTCCGCTCTGCCAGCTGCTTCCAATCAGCCGCCTGCGGGCCCCCGTCCCAGAGGTCAGCGGCCCGGCTTCAACGCGGGAGAGGCCCCCGATGGATTCACGCACCGAGAGGACGAGCCGCCGATAGAAACTGAGAGGAGCTCCTCGCTAATACCGCCACCGAAGGTTGTTGGTTCTTCACCACAATTGGCCTAAAAAACATGTGGCCACTGAAACCAAATACTTGCTATAAATCACAATTAACTTCCTCTCTTTCCCACGCTGTGATAAGGGTGTATGCTTTCACCCCCCAAACTAAACACGCTGGTTAATTGGTTGCGCCTCTCTGGTGTGAAGACCCCAGACGAAGCCGGAGGGACCCCATTATATTTCCCCTCTCCTAAGTCGAGAGAGGTGGTTCTCCAGAAAGCCGATTTCAACCCCTCTGGAGCCTCAGAGCCTCAAATCATCGTTAACGTCACGATCCCAAAGACGGGTTGAGCGACACCTGTGGCAGAATGCGGTAACTGCAGGCGTGTTTTGGGGGATCTCACTTCTCTGACAGTTCATCATACTTCATTCAGAGGCCATTCAGTCAAGGCTGTGAAGATACAACCAAATAATAAATCCGCACATGTTTGATGGTAAATTCCCATCCTGCACTGAAGATAAATCACAACAAATGGTTTTGTTATCCGAAGCCAAACTTGTTTTCATAAAATACTAAAACAACAATGTGACATTATTTATCGTATTAATAGAGACTATAATGTGCTTTGGCTAAACTGCCCCTTGTCCATCCGGCTGGGCGTCACAAACCAGCCTCCTCCCCTCACTGGACGTCTCGTGCGTCTCTGTGGTCACGTCTGTCCTGTACGCCGGCGCAGAGGGCATCTCTTTCCCAGGTGGCTGCATGCAAGAGATCCGTTTGTCAGACGGGAAAAAAAACCAAACAAGCTCTGGTCCAGCTCCGCTGAGTCCGTGCTGGAATCCGATCCGCTCACAAATGTGTGTCTTTCATGCCGATCTAAAGCCACAATTATGAGCTTAGGAGCCAAAGTAAGAGAGAGGCTTGATTTTGGGGCCTGTTATAATCTGCTGCCTTTCAATGAAATGAAATAACTTTCATTGTTCACAAAGAGGGATATGAGAACGGAGCTTCTTTCCATCTTTTAATATCCCCATATGATCCATTTGTTGGTTCCATCTGCCCCCCCCCGTGGTGGTGAAAGATGCTGGTTTCTTACCCCATACTTGCACTGGCGTGAAGAGGTTCCGTACTGGAAGCGGCACTGCTCGTCCGCGTCGTACACCTGCCCCGGGGCCACTGTTGGGTACAGGAAGTCTCGTTTCATAGGTTCATTGTCCAGACACGTCCCCCGACCTGAGCTGTCAAAAAAACAAACCTACAATAGGATTGTTTCTTACACAAAGCAACCTTTCTACACCCGGCCGATGGAACAGAGACACATGAGGAGGTTAGAGGCCTCCGTGCGGCGGCTGGTGCTGTTTGACTCATTTCATTTGACCACCAAACTACCGCGGTGGGATCTCAGATGACATGTGGTTAATGTTGATATCACACATCAACACCTGCTCGTCAAAAGGAGGTGGTGGTGGGGGGGGGGGGGGGGGCATTTCCCCGGAGGAAAAAGAAGCGCTGTCTGAGGATACGGCTCATATTCACATGCACCGGGAAGGAGAGGTCGATCTGCAGAGCCGTGTGCAGCCTCAAAGAACACTCAGGGTTGTTTTGTTTTCCAGTAGCTTTAAAATAAAAGCACTTTCTTTGGTTCTGGGTCGAGACGCTGAGCTTGTTTAAAAGTGAAACGCTTTTCTCGGGCCGTCTATGAGGACAGACACGAAGTAAAAATGGAGTATTATTCTTTATTTGGTCTTTCTTTTGCCAATTTGCAAGGCCTAAAATCATACCAGAGACCAGTGCCAATAAACAAACAGAGATGTATTTCAGTCAGAGGACTCTCAAGGCAAAATACCAGGTCCACTATTTACTATAACACTGTGTTCTTTCCAGATGTTGCAGCTGCAACATGCAGGGGAATGCCTGCCATCCCTCGAAAGGAAAAGTGGGCCTGCTGACAATAACAAGTCAGAGCCAGGCCTTATGTCGATCTGCCACTGGGGCCCAGAATACAGCAGAGGAGAAGATTGAGTTTAACATTAAACAGCCGGCTCACCCAACGCATACGTTCCCCTTCACCTCCAGAGACACCCAGCCGAGCAGATCGATACGGAACCCTACATTTAAAGACGTCCCAGCAGCCGTGCTGTTGCTCTGACTCAAGGTCGTTCTTCTGCAGCTGCCAGCGTTGGTGGAAAAGAAATGTGGCTTCTTGCTAAAGTGAAAAAAAAACTAAATTCTAACAAACAAATGGATAATGTGTTCTGTTGTTTATTCATAGCAACGGAGGGAATAAAATGTAACTTTGAATGGCTCCGAGCGTCGCAAACAAGCATCCGATGACTTCTGCTGTCCTGTCGCACAAACTAGCTGCAACTGGCAGGTTGACAACTACGGTTCTACTTCATGACACTGTACTAATAAAGCACCAGAGAAGGTCGATACCACTGAATATGAAGCAGACATATCGAGATCCTTTTCACGGTTACGTTTACATTTCTTTTAGAACAAGATTACCTGCTGGAATGTTTAAGAAACACATTATTTATGTCATACTTTCTGTCCAAATATATCAGTATTTACGATGCATCGGACGCACTCCGTTGAGGCGCCTGTCTCTTTAAGAGCCTCCTGCGGTAAAAGCCTGGCCTGCTGTGATTGGCTGGCGAGAAAGACACGGCGCACCTTTGCAAAGGTGGATGTGTATAGTGATACGCCGGCATGGCCTGTTGATGTGTAGGCACTAAAATGCCTACACAAATGCCTAAAATGCCTAAATATTTTTGGTGTGTTTCTTCCATTCTTCATCCCCTGTTCTCAGATACTGAACAGGATAACCTCACCTCCTTCTCGCAGGAGGAGCAGAGAGAGAGAGACAGACTTTCCTCTCTCGGCGTTCTTCCCGCAGACAGAACGCAAACATCACTATTTATTAGCTCGGAGAGACAAAATAGTCAAATATTAAACACAACGGCTATTATTTGACAATGCTTCCTGTCCAGTGGAGTCAGCCAACTTCATTACGCTGAATTAACCACTAACGGGCCAAAACACCACCAGACTCACCAGAGGTTCATGCAGAAGTTCATCAGGCAACAGCACGACTAAAGCAGACCAACCATCATCACGAGCCTAAATCATCTTAAATAGATTATATGTGGCTCTGACAGACTAATATCACACAACCGCCGTCCTTTAAACGTTTACACCAAACCCGGCTTGCAGACTTGGGAGCCGTAAACTATGACTGAACTGTGAGTGCATTCATAAACCATCGCTTAATGTCCCAAACAAAGCGCCACATATTGCTGAAGCGAGATGGTGAATCTAGGCCAACACCACAGCCAGGGTTGTTTACTTGGCTGGAAGAAGCTTGCGCTGTGATGGAGGGAGAGAAAGGGAGGATAATTGGAGTTTACGGGCAGAAACCCTTTTGTAGGACACATAAAAGCTAAAGGCAATAAAAGCCTGAATGAAAACGCAACAGTCTGATACTAATGGGGGTTGATTCGAGTTGATTCTCCCCATAAAACAAGCAACGCGACGCTGCACGGCTCTGGTCAGCCTCAAGTGGACGGGAGACACCCGGCGGAGCGGCGGAGAAGCGGCTCCTTGTGTCTCGGGGCGGAGGGCTGGCACACAACGCCGTCCTCCCTCCGCCACGAGCGGCGCCCGACCGGCCCTCGGGGGGCCACAAACATCCTCCCGACGACCGCGGCGGCTATTAGCGTCGCGCTCCGGACGGGCCCACGAGGAACCCTCTCAGAAGGACCGAAATAGGGAGCTGACCCTGAAACAGCCGCCCATTCACAAATCCAAATGATTAATAGCAAAGTGCGAGCCGCACGTGGAGCTGTGGGTCTGACCTCCAATATTCCTTTTTCCCTTTAAGCTCTCCGACGAAGGTTGAGGGACCTCTCTGCTACCGGCTAGTTGCTGGACAGGACGTAGACTCGTCAGAAGGTTTATTTTGCTTTTAACAGCTGCCCGCCTCAGAGCTTTTATCCAGCATGTGTTCTGTTTCTATTTGTGAAGTTTGTTCCTTGTGGCTCTTTGCAGCGTCTCACAGCCGGCCGGCCCCTCTGCAGAGGGAACAGGCTATTTCTCGCTCAACGTTAAGCGCAAATAGTGAGCGGACCGTTCCGGCCCTTCGCATGTTACAAAGACAAGGAATCCTTGACCTCGTTCTGTGACCATTAAAGAAGAATGGAAGCATGTTTCTCGAGCCACGGGAACAATCGAGACCGCTTTCTGATCGTTATCCCGACACAATGAATCTGCTTTCCAAAAAAGAAAAAAGCCCAAAGAGAAGAGAAATATCCGGCTTCAATCCACTACAAGCAGACGGCAAAGGGAAATCCGTCAGAGGCTCAGTGTGAGAGGCGGCGGAGTTTACTACTGCGAACGTGAAACAATGCCGGGGTGAGGAACCAGACCTCGGCCCATCCCTACCCCAGGCTAGCTTAGCTTAACTAGCACAGCACACACGTATCTGCAATCTGACAAACCGTCTGCAGTCGAGTGGCATTGTGGGTAACCTCGGTGCGATCTATGGAAATGCATGGGACGTAAAATGAAGATATCTCTGGATGCATCCGATTTATAATAGTAATATATACAAATAAAGTGTACTGAGATTCAAAAAATGAAGGATTCTTCTCATTAGTTTGAATCCTAAAGCAAAGAATCCAACACTGGCAACGAGGAACATCTTGGGTGAAGAATAATGAATATAAAAATGAGATAAACACTATGAGCCTCTCTGACCCTGCGTGGTTTCCATGTGCGTGTTGTTGTTTTTTTTTACAGTCTGGCGTCACTCGGCCAGTCGAACCCTCCTCCTGCCAAACGCCGACAAAGCGCTCCTCCTCCTCCTCCTCCTCCTCCTCCTCCTCCTCCAGCCGTCCACACGAGCTGTAGCACCACCCGCCCTGTGGCGGCAGGGCGGAGGGGCCCCCCCGGTCAGCGTGCACGAGCCACAAGCAGGGGGCCTCGCTGATGAATAAGCGGCGAAGGCCTCGGTTGTAAAGGGAGGCGAGCTGGACAACGGGCATGAACCTTTTGCACACGCGCAGCGAGAAGCTGCCAGCGTCCACTTACTCGAGGAAGCTGGTGATGTAGTCTTTGCTGCAGGCGGACCAGGAGAAGGGGTTGGTGTTGGCCGTTATGTGGGCGGCCATCAGCTTGGCCGTCTCGTGGCCTTTCGTGCCGCAGGAGTTCCCGATGCCGTCGTGGTTCATCCCGAAGCTGAAACACACAGAGTAGAGTTGAGGGCACTGTTCCGGGGGAGGGGAGGGGTTAGCTGGCCCTCTCCTCGCCCCCTCCGGGCTGTAAAAGATGGAGCTCTGTGGCTCTGAAACAGCTGTGTGGAGGTGGAGGGGAGCCATGGAGGGGTCAAGGGTCAAACCCTGTCTGGAGCTCGGCAGGAACGAAAGAAGGTTCTAATCACCACTCTTGATGCCTGCCTGTCAATCAGCGGCTGCAGGTCTGAGCAGGCTGGGAGGGAGGGGGAGCGCCCCCCCCGACCCCCCCGACTGGAGCTTTAGATCAGTCACTGCCCCAGAGAACACAGAGAGATCCATCCATGACCCGAAACAGCCCCCCGACCTCGTGGTCTGCTTATTTATGTTGCACTGTTAGCTGAAAACAAATTATTTGACCAATTCTTTTTTTTTTGTTTAAACCTTATCTGTCTGCATGTCATGTGACGGGAAGGAATAAACAATCTCAGGTTGCAGCAGGATGTCAAAGCTTACTTTTCCTCACGGACCGGGAGCACAAATCAGGCCTAATGTATATAACAACCCCGACCACATCGCACAGCCTCAACCTGTTTTTCTAAGGCGGGCGTTTATGACATTTTACTCTACTCTGGAAATAAATCAACCCGCTGCAGTGTGTGTTTTTTTCATACATCCTCTCGGAGCAGAGACTATTTTTACAACTGCCCCACAACAGAAGCAGACGCGAGACATAATAAAGGAAATCGCCATCTTGCTGAACTCTCTCGAGAGGGATACGTAGACTAATACATCATCATTATTTTGCTTTATATTCAGGAAGAGAGAGCCAGAGCTGTGTGGACACTGACATTTGCATGAGGAAATATCGTCTGCATGGGGGAGAAAAAAGAGAGGGTCACATGTCTGGTGAACTCAAGAAGCAAGTGATGTTTGTTTAAGAGAAATTGTTGGAGAGAAAAAGTTTGTTGAATATCCAAAAAACTTGTTTTGCTTCAGATCAACTTAAATACTTTTTATCACATTCACAACGAAGACAAACTTCTTTCCTCTGTTTCCTCTGTGATGACATCATGCAGGTTCCCCAGAAGCTCCTGCAGCTCAGACTGCAGCAGAGACCAGTCCACCGAGGACAGACCCAGGTCCTCCAGCAGAGACATGTCCACCGAGGACAGACCCAGGTCCTCCAGCAGAGACCAGTCCACCAGGACAGACCCAGGTCCTCCAGCAGAGACCAGTCCACCGAGGACAGACCCAGGTCCTCCAGCAGAGGCCAGTCCACCGAGGACAGACCCAGGTCCTCCAGCAGAGACCAGTCCACGAGGACAGACCCAGGTCCTCCAGCAGAGACCAGTCCAACGAGGACAGACCCAGGTCCCCCAGCAGAGTCCAGTCCCCCGAGGACAGACCCAGGCCCTCCAGCAGAGACATGTCCACCGAGGACAGACCTTGGTCTTCCAGCAGAGACCAGTCCACTGAGGACAGACCCAGGTCCTCCAGCAGAGACCAGTCCACTGAGGACAGACCCAGGTCCTCCAGCAGAGACCAGTCCACGAGGACAGACCCAGGTCCTCCAGCAGAGACCAGTCCAACGAGGACAGACCCAGGTCCCCCAGCAGAGTCCAGTCCCCCGAGGACAGACCCAGGCCCTCCAGCAGAGACATGTCCACCGAGGACAGACCTTGGTCTTCCAGCAGAGACCAGTCCACTGAGGACAGACCCAGGTCCTCCAGCAGAGACCAGTCCACTGAGGACAGACCCAGGTCCTCCAGCAGAGACCAGTCCACTGAGGACAGACCCAGGTCCTCCAGCAGAGACCAGTCCACAAGGACAGGACCCTGCTGCAGTGAAGCCGTCCACTTACAAACATTTTTGGAAGTTGAAAGTGTGTCGATTATTGTTCAAAGCTGAGAAGAAATCAGTGTTAAAAACTCACTTGTGACCAATCTCATGCGCGATGGTGAAGGCAGAACCGAGGCCGATGTCTTCGTTGATGCTGCAACTTCTCTCCGGCTCGCACATTCCAGCCACTGAGGCCAAACCTAGACACACACACACACACACACAGACACACACACACACCAGACAAACACACAAACACAGGGTCAACACCGAGCATTCTTAGGGTCCACGGTCCGAAATCTGAGATTCCACACATGTGATCTCCTGTTCACTGGGGGAGGAGGGCTGGGGGGGGCGAGCTTAGCGTCAGCGGCCAGACTGGAAAATGTCTAGACCAGAGTCGGATTTATACATTTCAATTCATGTAACAAGGGGTCGCCTGAAACGCGAGCCAAGAGGGGAATATAAGAACCCCTTCACCAACACCGCACCAGAACGCTGTCAGGAAATATAGACGTTTTCCTCGAGCGAGAGAGTAGGGAGACGGGGGGGAGGGGGAGGAGGGGGGGTGTTCAGAGTTGAAACTGCTCCATAATCCAGGTGTCGCAGGTCCTTCTTTCCTAAAGCCTGACAGGTCAGATAAGGAGACAGGAGGCAATTCTTCACAGATTACATCTACAGGTGACTGCAGAGGATCATATGGCAGCACAAAGCAGGTGTGTGTGTGTTGTTGGGGGGGGGTGGTGCTCTCCATTGTGCCTTCATTGCACTCATGCAAATCATTTATGCACAAATTGAAATTGGACATAAAAACAGGTGGATTGAAGATATCAAAGCTGCTTTTCAACCGAGGAGCAAATGCGTCTTAATCGATGCAAACGAAACCAAAAGGAACGTGTAGTTTTTGGCTGCACGGACGCACAAAGAGTGAAACACCTCCCCGACTCCGCCGGCCTTCAGACTTTCCTACGGTTCAACAGCTGGACCGACGGAACACAAAGTGCCTGGCTGCTCAAAGTGGCGTGGCTCTTGTATTCTCCGCGCTAAGAGGCTAAACAAGAATAGACTCGCAAATCAGGAGGCCGCTGAAACCATTACAGAGGCAGCCTGAAGGGCGAAGCAGAGCGGGAGGGAAAGGAAAGAGGGTGGCTACTCTGCGATTAGTTTAAGAATGTGTGTGTGAGAGGAAAGTCGGGGGGTCGAAGGTGAGCGCAGACACACACACACACACACACACACACACTGCATTGCAAGTTGTTTTCTCAACACCGGGGTGGACTGTGCATTATCTCCAGCCCCGTGATTACTCAGCGACCCTAAAGGCCAGCGATCTGACCCCGGGATCGTGATCCCCGCGTGGAGGGGAGGGCGAGGGGAGGGGAGGGAGAGGGTGGGGGGGAGGTTTGGGGGGGTTGAGACAACGAGGAAGCCGAGCAGATGCCAGTGCAATTAAAGCGACCGGGGAATGTGACGAATGCGGTCAATCTGTCAAACCACCCCTGAAGTCACAATATTACCTCCAAGATATACTGTGGTGCCTGCGGGGGCCTCTGCAGAGATAAGATGGGGAGAGATGGGCCGGGTGGGGTTGAAGAGGAGAGAGAGTGGAGGAGGAGGAGGAGGAGGAGGAGGAGGAGGAGCGGGGGTCTCTGCCACAGCTCGCCGGCCTTCTTCCCACCACCCGATACCATCGCAACCAGCATATCACCCACTCTATCTCCCTCCTGCATACTCCAGCGCTCCCTGTAACAGTCCTTCCCCTCCAGATCCCTTTCAACTCCTCCCCCCTGTCACTGCTCTCCTCTTTATCCCCTCGAGCCTTCCTGACACATACCTTTTCCTTTCTCCCCCTCAACCCCCCCACCCGGTGGGAGTGTAAACACGCCGGACAGGCCGAGGCTTAGCGGAGGGGGGGGGGGGGGTTTATAAACGGGAGGCGGCGTGAGGAGGTGACCACGGCTGTCCAGTGTCCGTGGCCTCGGCGCGACTGAAGGGGAGTCGGCGAGGAGCTATAATAACACAAGTGAAGACATCCTTCTCATTATGTCTCACAGGAGCCGTCTGGTGTTCTTCTAAAAGGAGACTGCGGAGGTTGCTAAATAAGGTTTGCCTGAGGACACGTCGAGGGGCCGGACGTGAAAACGGAAACCTCTCCAGGGGGGGACGAGAGGGAGAAGAATGAACTCCTAATCCAGAGAGTCACAGAGTCAACACCGGCTGAGATTACCAATCTGGCAAGGAAACACGCGGTTAGAATGCGTCGAGGTGCCTCAGTCCACTCACCTAAGGTACCGCAGGGTTTGTTCTTGTAGGTGCAGATGTCGTACCTGAGGACGGCAAAACAGAGAAAACACAAATAATGACATTAACCCCTTTCTTTTCTTTCCTTTTTAAACACCGTTGGCCGTTTGCCGTTCCATTCCTTCCACGTCTGATCACACAGTCACATCTAATCTCAACCTCCATCACAACATCAGCACACGATGCAGTCGTGGCCGGCTGTGGTTCTGGAGAACACCTGGTTCCCTCCATTAGCCTGTAGGAAATACACAGTGCAGTGAGAGTTAAGGGGAAAGGCCTCATGCTGCGTCCCGACTGTTAACCCCCGTAACTCACGTACAGGTAATCCAATAGAGTGGGGGGGGGGGGCACACCATGCATTTCAAATGAGTGATCCAATCATTCCCAAAGCTTTTAATCTATTAAAACCAAGGGCACGGCTAATTTAATTTCATTCTTCTTCCCCCCTCTCTGGCTCCCTCGCTCTCCTCATGAACTCCTCTCCCCGTTTCTCCCCCTCTTGCCTCCCATCCCTCCCAGTGGAACCCGCTGAGGCACAACCGTGACCTCGTTTAACCTCTTATTTGTTTTGATTTATTTCCCTTCATTTCCTTCGGTGTCTTTTTTTTTTAACGATACTAAACAAGGCGGCTTCCGACGTTGAGGGGGACAACGAAGCGTCCTGCTGGTGACCCCCCCCCAACCCCCCCATGGGGGATGCACATTGATGGGGGACGGGGACGTAGTCTAATACACTGACGCTAACTGCAGGGAGGAGGTCTGCTGCCAGTGAGCCTGGCTATAAAAACAGCCCATGACATGTGTCACATTGAGTGTGGAGATCAGTGCGGACGCGTCATTAAACTATATTTACTGGGTACATTTTTGAAACATTTTTATACGCTGAAAAGCGGAGGTTTCCCTTCAGTAAAAACATGTAGCTGTCAAAGATATATAAATGATCAACTCTTAAGCAAACAAAATACTCCTAACATACTTGTATGGCTTGGATCAGATGCTTCAACTAAAGATTATTTTCATTATCAATGAATCCAAAGATTATTTCCATTATTAATGGTGGAGGTTTTAAAACCCAAAGATGACACAAAACATCTGCAAACTCTTACATACGAGAAGCAGCGCGATTTATGGACTAATCGTTTCAATTTTGACCACTGATCCAAAAACAAAAACGCTCCAAAAATATAAATTAAATTAAGTGTCCTCTGAGTTAAATTCCGCGTTGGCCGGCTTAAAATCACACTGACCTTTTTTCAGTGCATTCCACCATCGCTTGGAATGTGTCCTCCAGACTTGCTGGTTAACGGGGGCTTCCTGGTGTCTACCATCGGCTATTTTTACTATCGCTCCAACTCGCCTACTTCTACCCCCTGATATTCACACTCACCCACATTTAATCATATGTGATTTACTCTGGGGTAAATAAAGCCCCCCCCCCCTCCCAGCAGCGTGGAATCTTTTCCCTTTTTACATCTATACTAAAGCCCACCAGGACGTTGCTCGCACATCGTGGGCTTCATCCATACATTGGATTTGATAAATCAATAGTAAACAAAGGCCATTGTTCGCTAGCTTATTAAGCTAGCTACCGTTGTTAGCATCTTACCTTTGTAGCAAACCTAGAGGTTTTTCTTGATATATGCTAGTTGTTGCTGAGACGGAAGTCTCCCACACAGTTAAATATCATATCCGACATTTTTTCTTCTTGCGTTGTTTTCTTGCTTGCAAAGAAAAACCCGCCGTGGGACATGACGGGTCTCCTGCGCCTAGCGACGGTTGCTATGGAAGGATTGGTCAGCGGCCACTCGGGGGGGAGGGGCTTAGCGGAAGTCAACTCGATAGGCATGTTTTCTTTTCAGGTAATCAGCCATTTTTATTTTCGATGAGCCCTAAACTGAACTTTTTAAAGGCTAGCATATAGCTAGCTAGTGGCGGGAGGAGACCAAAGACAGAGCTAAAAGTAGAATGCTAAACTGTTCTGCTCAAAACAATAAAATCCAAGTTGCTATTTGAGACAACCAGACGCCGTCATTCCAACTAGTCTGCCTTTGCGTCCTCATCCAACAGGAAATACGTCAGCCCTGCAGGACACAAGCCGGTCGCGTGAGTTGTTTGGTTTCTATGAAGAATGAGAAAAGATGTGACTTCTATGTGCAACCCCATGACCGGTTGCATCTCGACTGCCCTCGGGAGCCTTTTTGTTGCTGCTTCTTAGTGAAGCTAAAACCACCAATAAAAAGAGGAGCCAAAGGAGCTGGAGAACATCAACTGAGAGACAACAAGCAAGATCGTCCTGATGATAGAAAGGCTGCGTCGTAGCCCAGGGAGACAAAACGCTCGGCTTCAGCCCATTTCAATCACAAAACGCCCTCCTCTCTCTCGTGGGGGGGATATATGTACTGTAGTTGCTAGGTAATGGGCCCAAAACAGTACTCGCAACAATGAAGGCAGGTAATGACAGAGTTTTGCTGTTTTATAGAAACACCCCCAACATGAATTTATAGTGTGAAAAGTACAGTCCTTCTTCCTAAAAACCAGGACGTTTAATCTCACGCACACAGCTACAGTCAGAATGCTCCACAGCTTTTAACAAGCAAAATGAGAAGATAAGTGCTACTTGCAGCGAGCATCACAACTGAAACTGTCCCTCTTTGAAGCGCATGAATCCGAGCTGGATCGCTAAGGGACGTGCGAGCGAGATTATCGTCCGTGCGCGTTCCACAACTCACCGGGTGATCAGGACAGCGTTGTCATGGTGAGCCATCCCGTTTTCTGGAATGCTGTTGCCGTCGCCGTGATGCGACCGGATGGACTTCTGCCACTTGCAAAAACTGTCCAGAGACTTGTCGGCGTGGTGGTTGATCTCCAGGTTAGGCTGCAAACAGAACGGTGGAACGTGATGCTATTACAAGACAGCAGCCTGTGAAACATCACGAAGAGATGAGTTACGGTATCGCGTCATATCGTGCAGAGCAGCGTAGGATATCATTTCACGTAGCGTTGTTGTTTGTATGGTAGCATTTCGTTTTTTTATTGAATTTGCTTAGATTATTTAATTTTGTGTCGTGGCGTATTGATTCATTCTTGGTAGAGAAGCTCAGGTTTAACCTGTTGATTGAATCAACTCAAACTCAAAGTGTCTCTGTGCAAGGACGAGCAGGAGAGTAGAGTCTGTAAAATACTTCTAAAGTACTTGCGATGATGGAGCTGATTGGTTACAGCACAACACTGAACAAATCTACTGCCCCTCCGTGACTCGGTGCCAGTGCGTCCGTCCCTCTTTGTGGACCAAAGCGCGGCTCCATTATGCAGGAAAACTTGTTTGATGCTACAAGAAGAGCCGCTAGGACCCATTTGGAGAAAAAATAACCAGATGGTAGGAAGCGCTCTGTTTCTCCCATCATGCAGACATACACATGTACCGTGCACGTACGAAGCCTCCAGCCCGGCTCCCCGAGGGAAGAAGCTGGAGTACGTCTTTCATGTAAAGCGGTGACCATATGGTGGATAGTCTGTCTCTTCCCTTGAACCACATGAAACACTGCAGCTCGCTCACGCCAAGCGGATACGTTATACACTCGCTGCAGGTGTAGCCGCAAATATGATGAAAATAAGAAGCCTAGTGACACTACGCGGATGACTGAGTGAAATGAATGAGAAAAAGAGAAGATGAAGATCTTACCTGATCTTCCGTCAGCACAATCAGCCGGGTCACAATAATGTTCACAACATTTCCTAGACTGGCATCACGGTAAAGTTTGGCAACCTGACCTCCAGAAAAGAAGAAAAGACACAAAGTCAGACAAATTGTGTCCAAATGTCACCAACTTCTAATCAAATCAACCACTAAAGATGGCAGCAGACTGCGTGTACTCGGGTAAATGTACTTTGATGTTGCCGAGATGGCCAATAAAGTAGGATCAAACTTACAATATTCATCACGGACAGGATGTAGCCCTCGATGTCCTTGCGTCCGTGGTAGCCGACCATCATTTTGTCCGCCACCACCAGCGTCTCCACGAAGCGCTCCGAGCTGACGGAGCGCCGCGGCCGGTGGGTGCCGTTGGCGCGCTCGCCGTCGCTTTGGGGCGCCGGTGGGGGCGGCGAGCTAAACTGGCAAGGCGAGCTGCTTTTGATGAGGTCTGCGGGGTGAAGGGCGTGTGGGGGGGAGGGGGGGGGAGATGAAGAGTGAAGTTAGAGAGAAGCCAATTAGGAAACCAAGTGATGATGCATGATCTGTTGGAGAGAGAGGACGGGAGGGGGGATCTGCCCCTTTGAACCGGGCTGCTGAAGCATTTGCTTTATGACCCAGATGCTCTGGGAAAAAGCTATAAGACGGTACATGTCGGGGCATGAGAGCTTCCAAGTGATCACAGCCTTTGCTGTTTCTTATCAGAGCTTGGCCCAAATACCTACACATCCACCTGGTCCTCTTTCCAAATCCGTCAAAGTCTCCAGCGGACGCGGGTCTTTGGTTGGAGTTTCTTTGAAACCGAACATGATTCTATTAATAGGATTTGTGCTTCAATAAAAGTCCTGAGCCAAGAGCTCTTCGTGCACAGAGGGGCCTTTTTTATGAAAGCTTTCTCTTGCGGGATGAAAGGTGTCCCGGCCAGGAGCAAATATAGCACACAAGAGGCCCGGTCATGTCCACCAGAACCTGGGCCTACAACCAAACCAGCACTTCCCCCCTAACCTGCTGTGTGAAGTTATTCCTCTACGTCAGCTCTACCCACACAAAGCCCAACCCAGACGCGGGCTTAACCAACCTGAAATGCCACAGCTGAGCTCCTGGCTACGCTCTTGTGGTGAGGGAATGGCAGACATTTTATAAATAACATGTTGCTGTGCTTCTTCCAGGTTCCATTCACTGGAGGAGATGTTCCTTAATGGCTCGATCAAATACTGCTCCTCCTCTGTTGTTATGACACCGTGCTTGTTGGGGAGGAAATCAGGGAAACCGACAGGTTACAAACACAAGCATACAGGGTTGGTGAAAGAAATTCTAGCAAAAGTTCTACCAAAAACACATGTTTTACATTTCTTCATCATTTTTATTCTACTAAAGGTGCAATCCCCCTTTTCCCCCCCCTTTGTTCCACGATGCAGATCAGTTTACCTTGAACGGTCGGCTAAGACAGAACAGGAATTTCATTTAGCGATTGCATGCCGGCGAGGGGCGATTTGACTGCAGACAAGAAGTGGACTTAGTCGCCCACCAGTTTGTGGGCCGACGGCACGAGGGCTCCATTTTGGCAAATTCTGCCTTCGCCGGCTTGGAGTTTGGCTGTCGCCATGTTGTGTTTATTTTACAACCGATGAACAAAGGTTTTCATTTTTTGAATGCCGAGGAGGGACCTGCCAATCAGCGTGTAGCCCCGCCCCAAAGCATCCCCTGCTTTGTGGTCTGTTTGACTCTAAATTGACCATAATTCACTAAATGAACATCACGCTGTGCTGAAGAAGACTTGAAACTAGAGACCGAGACCATAAACTCATGTTTACAATGTTTACTGAGGGAATAAATCAAGAGAGAAGTAGAGTCATTTTCTCATAGACGTCTATGGGAGCAGAGGAGTCGCCCCCTGCTGGTCAGTAGAGATAAAGTAGGTTTAAGTCATATACAGACTGACCCAAAGTCCACCTGCACGAGATGATCGTGCTTCAAACCTCACACGAAGCTTTAGAGATCTGTTCAGAAACGTAGAGACAATAGTAAATAGATAGAGACCCAAATGCCTGAACAGATAAGGTTATCCATGGCGGTTTGCATCCCGACAGACATGACCGGAGGTAAGGATTCCCTCGCTCTAACGTCCACACGGGCCACGCGCAGGAGCTATTGTGTGGCTCTGAAGGAAAGCCTGAAACCTGTGAAGTATTCCTTTAAATAACCAGTACCTTCCCGATGACCCATGCGACACGTTAGTTACTAGTGTGCAGTCAGAGCCAAGTGCTGCTCGTAGAAAACACCACCTCGCTCTGCACAAACCGACAACACTAACAAGTGACCACAAATCCCTCAAAGCGCAGACAGAAACACACTCGATGAGTGCGTGACGTCAGCGGCCTCAGACCGTCCAGACAGCTGATTACATTAAAAGCGCAGACACAGTTTTGTCCATTTTTGGTGCTGTTAGTAAAAAAAAAAAAAAAAAAAAAAAGTGAATGCTAATTCAATTTATGACACTCGGTGGGGGTCTTGCCAACACATTTGGCTTCACGTTTTCTCCACACGATTACGTTTGCCAAGAAGAAGCGGGGCCTATTTCTTTCCTTCTTTAGAGTTATTCTGAAGCACAACAGCCGTCAAAACGTCTCGATTGGTGCCGAGAAGCCGGGGGGGGGGTCACGCAGCCTGCGGACAGAAGCCCGAGGACCAAAAGCTAAGACGGCATAATCAGAGGATCGTTTAACAGAACACGAAGAGGATCAAGTACGATCTCCTCCGCCGAGGACAAAGCGTGATACTCGAATGCTCTTCTTCCTCCACCGGCATCACCTCGCTCGCAGCCTGCCAAGTGGAGGCAAGCCAAGATCCTGCTAAGCAAACTGCAATTGGTTTAATCCCCGTCCTCCGAGCGAGCGGCTGCCTTGAGGGCACCACCACCTCGGTCTCTCTCCCAGTTTTAGCATCGGGGGAGGGGGGGGTGAGGTCAGCGGGGGCAAAGAGGAAAAGTTAAGAGAGAAGTAAAAGCGTTGTTTGCGTTTTGCTCACCAGGCCCTTGCAGTTGCTGAGCGCCACCCGGGTCGCGCCGCGCTGGTTCTGCAGGGATCCGACGTAGTGACAGTTGTCCACCGCGTCGTGGCGCCACTCCAGGCCGTCCCTCCCCCAGAACTCCACCGCGAAGTGCTTGGACACCAGGTGGGGGTTGAGCGTCAGGTTGAGGTGAAAGTGCATCCCGTAGGCCGACAGCCTGTAGAAGAGCCGGGGGTTGTGGTGGGGGGGGTCCGGGTCCAGGGGGTCCGGCACCCCGCGTCTCCGCCGGCCCGGCCGGTGGTGCTTCACAGTGTAGCTCAGGAACTCCCCGCTCTCGTCCACCCGCACCGGGACAGTCACCTGGTAGTGCTGCAGGTAGGACAGGAACTCCTCTAAAGACGGCAGAAGGAGAAGAAGAAGAAGAAGAAGAAGAGAAGAACGGGACGGTGAGCATGCGGCTCTGTGGAAAACACCCACCCGTCCACCCGTCCACCCGTCCACCCGTCCACGCGTCCACGCGCCGTACCTTGAGAGTTGTGCGAAAGTCTTTGAAATTCAGAAGCCGCCATCACCACCAAGCTCAGGGTCCAGGTCAGCGTCTTCCACAAAATTTCCATAATTCGGCGGTGAGGTGTGACATGGGGTGCAGGGTAGAGGGCGCTACAATCGGGCTAGGAGGAGGAGGCGGCGGCGGGTCCGACGCCGCACCATAACGAGTCCACGGGGGACGTGTTCTTGACGTGAATGCTGTGGTCGTGGCGGGCGGGCGCGTCCAAGGCTCTCAGATTCCTCCCGATGGCGAGCGCCTCGGCGTCTCAGTGGCCTCTGGGTTCATGTCAGCAGCTCGCGGGAAACACCGAGATCCATCAGGCACACCGAGTCGCTCTCAGCCGTAAGCCCACAACAGGAAGCTCTATGCGGGAAGCTTGTCTGGACCGATCCATCTGCGTTCCTGCGGGGGCGAATCAATCAGAGGGTGAAATGATCTATCGGGCTTGTGGCTTTAGTGAGATCATTACTGGTCCAACAGCTGAAACGATAGCCAGTAAATTTCAGGTGAATTATTGAAAAACATATTTTATGATTGATTTAGAAAGCACAAACACAAACAATTAGTTGACTGACACATGGAAGTAATTATGACAGTGGTGATTAAGGCGGAGCATCTATCAAACGATGGATCATTTCATCTGTGTCGAAGAATCCAAAGAGGTTCAATGTAAAATGAAATAAACCAACAACAGCACTTTCACACATTAATCTGGAGCCAGAAATCGTTGTTTGAGTATTTGCTTTTAATCATATTTAGACCTCTGACTGCTGGTTGGACAGAAGTTGCCATTTGAGCTCAGGTCAGGTTTTCCCACTATTTTATGCCAACTCATGAACCAATTAATTAAGACAATTCTCATTCTTAAGGATTTTCTCTCAAAGGATTTATAGTTTCAAACCAGCAACAACACAAAGACAATCAATTCAAAACGAAATGGACTGAAACGATTAATCGGTGTTTTTTCTCTCGCGACGATCGATAAATGTTGGGTTCAATCAAACGCGTCGTTTACCTTCAAATCACCGGGAACGAACTCCAGACACGTCAGACGCATTTGTCGCAACGCGCGCGCATCAATCCAACACGCGACTGACAGTTTAACGACCTCAAGCCGGGATTCAACCGCAATAACTCAGCCCGCGGGGATATCACTTTCGTGCACGTCGTGGGTTTCTGTGCGTTCGTGCACGTGTATGCATGCGTGCGCGTGGGTGTAGTGCGCGTGCGTGCGTGCGTTTTCCCCCTCGGGCTGCAGCCCTCCACGCACACAGCGCTACTTACTTGGCCACTCTGACCCAGACAGTTGGCAGCCGGCCCGCGTGCATTATTACACACACACACACACACACGCGCGCGCACGCACGCACACACAAACCCCTCAGGAGAATTAAAAAAAGAATAATAGTAAAAAAAAAAAAAAAAAGTATTAAAAAACGTAAAAAGGCGTCAGAAAGTTGCGGCGGTTCCGAGCTGCAAGGCACGTGGATCCAGCGCGTAAACGTCTCCGAGACTGCAGCGCTTCCACGCGAATCCCTCCATGTATGTAACTATAAATAGATATTTATGTATAAATACACATACATGTACATGTATATATATTGTTAAAGTCTGCTCCCCTGAGAGGATATAAAGCGCTCACACGGGAACCTGCAGGAACAGAAACGGAGCAGACCGATATCGTGCCGCTCGCACCGGACGCGGAGTGTTAACAGGATAGTTACCACGCGCATCTTCATCGTCAGCTCCGGCTCCAACTGTGCGGGGGGGGCGGGGGGGAGACACAAAGAGAGAGAGAGAGAGAGAGAGAGAGAGAGAGAGAGAGAGAGAGAGAGAGAGAGACAAAGAGAGAGAGAGAGCGCACAGGACAACAAAAAGCAGCTCTTAAGTTCTGCTGTTCTCCTCCTTTCATCTCCTCTCGAGCTCTGCCATCCTGAGCGCCCCCCCCCCCCCTCCCCCTTTCTCTCTCTCTCTCTCTCTCTCTCTCTCTCTCACACACACACACAGACAGCCAAGCAGAAGTGGGGGTGGGGGGGGGGGCTGTCTTTATAATCTCTGCGCTCTTCCTGGTGGCTTCAAAAGAAAAGCGAGGTGAGGTTTGCAGCGGGTGTCCTGCCACCTCAGAGGGGGGGAGGAGGGGGGAAAGGGGGGAGGGGGGAGGGGGGGGGCATGCAAACAACCGGCCCTCGTGCTCCCGAAGCTGCTCCTCCTCCCTACGTGACACCGGGTCTGTCTGCACCCTGTTTCTTTAGTCGTTTTTATTTCGGGGGGGGTCGATGCAGATGTGCCTTTCTGCCCCCAAAGATTCAAAGATTTTTTTTATTGTCATTTACACACAGTTTACACCCTGTGTATTGACATTCTTGTATACTTGCCTTTCCGGAAAGCCGACCAATTTTAAAATAAAAATACAAATAAGAATAAGAATACAATATTTACATAAATGTACATGAAATAAAAAATAAAAAATGAGGTAAGGATAAGACGAGGAAAAGTGCAAAACTGAGCAGGTTGTAAAATAAAAAAACTTAAAGGCGGTGCTGATGAAGGTTAGAAGGTAAACGGATTAATTCCAGAGACAGAATGTCAAACTTGGACTACTTCAGTAAAAGTAGTAATACAGTAGTAATAAGTCCTTATTACTACTGTATTACATAGTATTATTGATGAATCAATGTTTGGTAGTATACTTTTTTCGCTTTTGTTAGTCATGTTGCGTCTTTCATAAAAAAGAGATCATATTCTATAAAATCAGCATGAGTTTTCTTAATTTGCAGAAAGTATAACAATATTTTCCTCTGATAAGCAGTGAGATGTGAAAGTGAAAGTATAATGTGGCTTGAGTCCTCGAGTAAAGTACCTCAAAGTATACAGACCGGATGTAAAGTACTGAACTAAAATGACTATATGAAGTAGTCAAAGTGAAGCTCAAGTGTCCGTTAACTCATTTACTTCTTCCACCAGCTGATAAATACTTAGAAAGTCCAGATGCATCAGCACGTGAGCGCGTGTGCGCTGCAGGTCTAAACCTCAGAAGATCTCACAGGAACCGCCACCATCACCGAGGACCACCGCGAGGAACCAGGGCCGTCTGCGGACCTTAGGGCGCCGCGGGACAACGTCCACGTCGTGATCTTTCAGCCTGAGACGCGGAACGTCACGCCTGTCGGCGGGTGCCGGCGGGTCCCCGGTGACGTCATGACGTCACGGCCTCGCTGCGCGGGGGAGCAGCGCCGCCGTGCGTCCGCGTCGTTCGGTCAGACTGGCGCCTACGGAACCGGCCAAGTGACGCGTCCCACCGCGGAACTTAAGACAATCGGCGCGCGTCCGCGGAGCGTCTCGGTGACGCGCCGGTGACCTTCGCTCTTCGACGCTCCCTCGTGCGCAGCGTCTTTACAACCGCAGATCAGCGCTGTGCAGGACACGTGTGTCCATCGGGGACAGCGCATTGACCCACGTGTATTTGAGATGGAGCTTATTAAGGTTTTAATTTGCATCTCATCGTTATTATTATTATTATTTATTATTATTGGTAAAGTAAACAGCTGTTCTTAAGGAGTAGACGGCCTTTGTTGATGTGAATCAAGAGCATTTATAATGTATATACATATAGTAATATCTCGTTTATGACATTTCACTCCACACACTTCAGCACATATAAAAAGAAAAACGTCTAAAATAGCTGTACTGTGTCAATAATAATTATTAGCCGACCTTCGGTCCGCCTGCTGTCAATGAATAACAAACTGCCGACGGGTTTATCAACGGTAAAACAAACATTTCCATCGTTTAGGGCGGAACGGACATAAATATGGTTGAGTGTTTATGTTTTATCTTCCTCATTTGGCCCTAATGATCTGACGTGACTCAGCGCCTCGCCACAGAGGAGCGTTGTTGGAGGAAGAGGGAGTGTTTACAGATGCACAATAAAAACGCCACACAAGGTCGGCTGCTCCCACCGGCTATAAAGACTCCGCTCTGAACCGTCCTCCGCCTTCCTCCGCCTCACTCCTCCGGTAAGACTCACGTCTTCGCTGCGTGTCCTTTTTCTGGGGGAAACATACAGAAATTGTGATATTTAAGAACAAAACTCCTTTTCCTCCACAGACCTGAGACCGCCCCCCCCTCTCCCTCCATCACCTCCATCATGGCTGTGACCCGTCAACCCGGCAGCTTCGGGCCCTCCGAGTTCCAGACCGGCCTGTGCGACTTCTGCGGCGACTGCGGCACCTGTGAGCGCCGCCCCCCGACCCGGCAGAGAGACGCGGGGCGCATGTTGTGTTTTTAACGTGTTCCCTCGGTTGCTCCGCAGGCCTCTACGGGCTGTGCTGCTACCCCTGCCTCGGCTGCTCCATCGCCAGCGACATGGACGAGTGCTGCCTGTGCGGCCTGAGCATGGCCATCCGCAGCGTGTACAGGACCAAGTACAACATCCAGGTGAGCGCCGCTCGTCCCCGGAGCTTAAGGAACCACAATCAGCGGCTCATCTTGTGGTTGGAGCATGTTTTTGTCCTGATTAAAGTTACTTCTGCTTATGATCTTACATCACACCCAGAGGAAGTCCTCCTTTACTTCAATGTTCAAATACTGCGCTGTGTCCTTCAGTCAAAAGCCTACTTTAGTAAAAGTATAATCAGAGGGGTCACCGGATAGCAAAGAGGCTCTAATTGCCTTTGTGTGAAACATCGGGTGATTCTTTTAGCTTTGCTTGTTATTTAAAGGAGGGTGGATGCCGCTTATTAGCGGGAAATCACAAAGGGGCACACCTGCTTTTAAAAAGGATCTAGAATCCTCGAAAGGGTTTTAGGGTGTAATCTTTCACGCGTCTGTTAAAGATTAAACCACAGTAATAAAACTGAACTTCCGTGTGCCGTCCTGAGGAGGATTATCCATTTATAAATATTTCAGGGTTAAATACAAAAATACCTTTAAAAGCTTATTTGGAGCAATGCATGGAAACGTAAAGACATCATCTTATTTTTTTTATTTTTTATTACTGCAATCTTTTTATTTTTTTTTCTCCCAACCAAAACCTTTCCTTAAATCTTTTTAATTAAGTGTACGCCACTAATATTACATGTACTGTATACATATAATATAGATACGTTTACTCTAACCCCCCCGTGTGTGCAGGGCTCGCTGTGCGGCGACTTCTGGGCGGTCGGCTGCTGTCCGCTCTGCGCCACCTGCCAGCTGAAGAGAGACATCGACCGCAGGAAGGAGCAAGGCATCTTCTGATTGGGTAACTAAGTACCTCGTAGATACACACACATTATATATATATATATTTTGCTTCTGGCGTCATTCCTAAGCATTCCTTGTGTACTTCACTCCTTCAGGATGGCGTGACGGAGGCTGTTCTCGTGTGATCTTTGTGCTCCTGTGAAGACGTTTGTGCGGGACGCTCCCCAGAGGGCAGATCAGCATCGAGATTTACCGCCTCGGTTACAAAATAAAGCTTATCTGATTGAATGTTTGTTTTTAAATGTTATTGCAATAAAAATGAACTCTTAATTGGAATTAGTGGAGGTTGTCCCTGTTTATGTTGCTCTTATTTACCTGTTTGTTCACTGATATTTAAGTCCACACCAAAAACCAACTTTATGCTATGTTAGTTTGTCATCTAAAGGATGGATTCATCCGTCCAAGACTTTGTTTTATTAGATACGTTTTCCGTAAACCAAACATTCTTATTGTGAGTTGACGCCTAGTTCAAATAAAGCTGGAATTATTGTGATTTTATCACAATTTAAATACAGTTTCATTTTACAAATAATTCATGTTGCCAGTTTGCAGAGTCTAGAGGAATAAACCGTTTACATTCTTCACAGCAGACATTTGAGTCTGTCCAACATGGGACATGAATGATGGCTGCATTCCATTCGGCTGTGCATCAAAGTCAGAGACAAATTAAAAAGTGCACGAGGGGACGTTTTCTTGCTTGTTCTCATTTCACATCATCGTGTCCTGAATATTCACTCATCTCATCGCGAGCCGCTTCAACCAAAGAACATCGTCAGATGGTCGGGCAGAACCGTGACAGCACGACGCACAAATAACGTCAATTAAAAGGCCCAAAAACACCATAAAAATATATGTGAACTCATTTATTATTGAAATAATTAATATTTGTTTGAATTTTCTTCTTTATCTGTGCATTCATTAGCATCTTCTCTTCTATTTAATTTTTTTTTAAACCTAATGTGTTATATTACCTCATGTATTTGGGGATTTTGGCAATTTCCACAATACTCAACCGCATTTCAAAATTGTCACGTGAATGTTGATTCAAATCGTAAAACACCAACGACTTGTGACTAAAGTAGAAACTGAAATGACTCGACCAGGAGCGATTTCTTTCGCTTTCATTTTAATTCTGAATTTCACAAGAGCGGACCGAGAATGTTTTTACACAAAGGAACACTTGACAGATATTGTTGCGTCGTTGTGTAGAAACTACGTCGCCGGTAGTCGGCATGTAGGCAGCAGTGCGCTCAGCACTCACCTGACGGACGCACGGCGTAATAAAGTAATAAAGAGTTTTAGGAATATTCAAACAAGTGACAGGACACCAGAGGCCGGGACTCGAGTGTTTGTTGACCAGGAAGACAACACTTTAAGCCAGGAGGGGGACAGTGTGTGTGTGTGTGTGTGTGTGTGTGTGTGTGTGTGTGTGTGTGTGTGTGTGTTGGGAGGGAGGGGGGTTACTGGGTCATCTGGGTTTCCATCGCCTGAGCAGCCCACTCGGGGGCGGCTGAACGGATCTTTTCTAGGAGGTTGTTGACCTGGAAACACAGAGACTGGATCTGTTTGTCCCAGGTAGGAAGGGCCTCACGGGCTGCCGGCAGGTAGAAGAAGAAAAACAAAAGGACATCAAATATTTTGTGTCGTTCAAAGCGGACTGATACAAGCAGCGGTGAGCTGAAGAGCAGAACAAACGGCATTGTAATCCTTAAAAGATCTCTTAAGGGGGAGAAACAAACGCAGGTTGTTTGTTTCCGTTTGATCATCTGAGGTTCTCAGTAGAACCCATTAAAGAAAGAACAACCCAATATCATGAATCGCTTCATTTAACGATAACGTGATGACATTTTAAGTTTGAATTGAAAACAATTAAAGCTCTGAATGTAAAACTTTGGTGGTTTCGGTGTTCCGGTTCCTTCTGTCTTTGAAACGCCGACTCACTCTCAAAGTGGACGATGCTGTCGATCTGGTCGATGAAGCCGTTCATGCGCCCTTCAGTGATCATCTGGGAAGCGATCTTCTCGGCCTGAAGGCGAACAAAGCCACAAAAACCTCTCAGGATACACCATGAGAAATAAACAGCAACACAAAGAAGATTTGTGAAGCAAAAGCATGTCAGCTTTCTTTTTCCACTGTAGCCTTTGATGTGCATACCCAAAAACTAAAGAAAGAAAGATGTATTCAACTTTGTGAAAGTAAATAATCGTTTCGTGGGCTTAAAAATGTGTTTTAAAAACATTACAAATGAGTTCATATATTTTTAGAGAGATTGACAGCTGGTCGACCTCCACTAACATCACAATGAAGATGTTCATAATGGGAACATGTAATTACTTAAAGGTATAAAGCTTAATATACATTCACATACAGTAAAGTTATTTCAAAAAGATTGTTTGCAGAAGAAGAAGGTCAACTTAAAGATATTGATCCGAGTGTTGTCTCACCTTGGCGGGGGGGATTTCTAAAAGTGCTCCTAGTTCTTCAAATGTGATGTTGTTGTAGAGTTTGCTAGCGGACAAAAGGTTGTGTTCAATCACGGCTCTGTCGAGGATGCTGGATCCTGTAAGAGAAACCTCACAGACTGAGGGGTCAGATTGAATCATTCAGCATGACTTACACTCAACAGAAAGCATTTCATCATCATCACTGATCACACAATTCATGCCCATGAACACAAAAAAACCATCGGGGTGCCTACTAACAACAATACACCGGGACTCACGTCATGCATTACTACGACACATTCTGCTCTTCAGAGGAAAATTCCTCTGACACGAAGAATAAATTCCATGGAATTGAACAAACCGTTACACAAACAAAGGACCTTTAAAAGCTCAATCTGTGCACCTGCATTCGTTCACTGCTGATGCCTCTAAAATAAAAAAATAAATAAAATAAAAAAACTCGGAGTGACGCCGAGTGCTCGGTGGCAGGTTCCTTTTTCAGGACGACAGGCCGTTAAACGTGGCGGCACCTTTCCATCATATGAACGACCTGCTGTTCATATGACGGGAACATGGCGATATTTAGAGAGGCAACACTAAAACAACAGACGGACAAATGTACTGAGGAACTTAAACAAAACCCATTTTCCAGTGACACAATACAGAATCCCTTTGTGCTTATTTCTAAAGCCGCATTAAAACACGCAGACTTTATTTAGGACGTTACGCTAGTAGCAAGTCGCTGTGTTGTGCCAGATTCTCAATAAGGTTAGAAAAAAACATTTACGGCAAACCGTGAAGATACTCATTTACATGGAATATGCAGGAGGAGAAGGAGGGTCCATGTCGCTAAATACCAACTGAGATCGGCTTGTGTGGTTCTGAAAAAGGACCGACCACTTTTCACACTCATGCCTGGTGCTAAAATGTCCTAAACAGCATGAAACATCTGCATTATAGTGTGGTTGAACGAAGTACGTAGCAGCTGTGGTAAACCAATCATCTCCTCTCACCATCTGCTGTGGTGGCTTTCTGGTGAGGCATCAGCATGGCAGCAAACTCCTGCAGCTGGTTTCCTCTGATGATACGGTCTAGGTACATCTTCTCCAGAATACCGTAGGCAGCCAGCTGCTGACAGCGCTCATCTTTAAAAAGAGTGGCCAACATACGGGAACGCTGCTGGCCTAAAAGAAAAGCATCATTTCAGATTTTTGGTCTGAGACACTAAATTTGTAACTTAGATAATCAGTGAAAATGTAAACCTAAGCCAAGTCTTGGTGGTACCTGCAGAAGCCAGTATGGTGCAGTTTAAGGCGTGTTTGAGCGCCTCCAGACGTTCGGTCTCATGGACTATGGACTTATAGGACAGCTCGTTGTATCTTTGTGCAGCTTCAATGAACTTCCTCCTGAAGTCCAGGACTCTGGCATAGCACACCTAACAAGTACAACGCCATCAAACACTGATCCAAGCAGCTACAGTCGCGTTACAGCAAAGTCCCTGAAATGTTTGATTTAAGCACTAAGTCCCAGCAACGCAGACACAGGCGCTGTACCTTATAGTGTATCTGCAGCTGTTCATTAGAGGACTCATTCTGAAGCAATGAGGCTCTGTTGATGTATGCCTCCGCCTGCACTGGATCATCATCCTCTAAGTAGAGACGGGCAATTTTCAGGTACGTATCCAACTTATAGTCAACATTGTATTGCCTAAGGGAGTAAATGGAAAAAGCAATTTAAATACCTGGACATCCAACAATAAAATGACAGCAAGAAATCTGTTAGTAGCTTGCTTACTTACTTCTGTCCGGTTTCCAGGGGAATACCGACTAAAACCTGAGCTGCATTCCTCCAGTCTCCCTCCTTTTCATAAATGGTTGCTAAGTGCTGTCTGATTGAAGCTACCTGAGGGCACGTAAGAACATTATTAAATCGCACATTTCAATAAGAGAAAGGACGTTTCGATGAAGTAATAATCTGCAGCCAATAGAGTTAACAGAGTTGAAGTGCATTTACCTGTTCCTCAAAGGAGATGACCCTGGGCTGAATCTTCTCCAAAGTGAAGTGATACACTGCTTTAGCTGTGGCGTCGGGCAGGTTGGGAAGATGTGTGCAGAAATCTGTGAGCAGCTGTCTCGATATGACAAGACTGACATTCTCATTAACCACTGTAGAAAAGAAAAATGAATAAAGAAAATGAGGTAACACATCCTACCAACATCCAATCCACCTTGTAGAGAAATGTTGATGACGTAAAAGAAAAGAGGCACTGCATACTCGCTTCAACAAAGGCCTTCAAGGACTCCAGCTGCTCTGCATCTGTAAACTGAATGGCCTTCTCCAAAATTTGTCGATATCTACAAAGGATTTTACAGGTGACAAACAACACCGCTGTTTAGAGGAGACCAATGCCACCGATAAGTAGAAGGTAAACACGTACCATTTCATGTATTACTGTGCACTGTTAGCTAACTGTGTTGCTAGTAAACACCAGTCAGACTGACATGATTACCATAACAGTAATGTCAGTTAGACTCGCCGCTTAGAGGGGGTGTTGGGGGTCGAACAACGAACTGTCAAATTGGTTTGAGAGCAACAAACAATTAAGGTTTAAAACCTAGCTAACGTTAATTGGATGTATTGCTAATTTAGCCGAGTAGCTAACGTTGTTTTAGCTAGGTCCATTGCTAGCTAACTTACTCAGGCGCTTACTTTCTCAATGTGGAAAAGCATAGAGCGGCTATCAACAAGTAATGTCTTTGCTTTCTTAAAATATATAATTGGCGATACATACTTGGCCGCAAGATCTTTATGAGATCCAGTGGAGTTCATTAGCTGTGCAAGCTCCTGCCTCACATCGGTCGCCATTGTCGCCAGTCGAAGTGTCAACGGCGGCGGCTTCCGCTGCCAAAAGCACTGCGTCATTTCCGGCTTGAGTCCGGCAGCGAAAGCGGTCCTCCGACAGACACCAGTCAACAAGACAGGAAACATATCCAGAATCTTACTCCAGTAACAGTAAAAAAGTATTACCGCCAGGAATTACAAACCTTGTATCAATTCCGTGCATACGATTATGATGCATTTTTGTGTTCTAATTAATCTAATTAATAAATAAACTAGTTTCTGGGGTTGCAGGTAAAAAAGCGGATTCTTCTAGTCTGACATGTACTTTATAGATGCACAAATGTAAAACTGTACAAAAACATGTGTGTTTAAGCACAGCCCTCACCCAGAGGGGATCTATTAAATTAATGAGATTTGATTTCATTCGCTATTGTTTTTTATTTAAGTTTGGAAATATAGAATTTTGATTTCATAATAATCATTAGAAAGAGATTTATTCTTTGTATGATAAAAGTAGCCCTACATACTTGAGTACTTATTGTAAAATACTTACAAATATATGTTTGTACATCAATAAGAAAAAGGAAAGAATAGATACTTTATTATCTTTTGCTTTTGTAATGTTCTTATTCTTCAATGTTAGCACAATAGATTATAATACTGTTCATTAAAGTGCGGAAGGTAAACTGGAAGTCACTTGTCACTTGACAAGTTTAGATTAGAATAGATTAGATTCAACTTTATTGTCATTGCACAGGGTACAAGTACTGTACTGAGGCAACGAAATGCAGTTTAACATCCAACCAGAAGTGTGCATCATTATGGGAATCTTTCCCCTGTTGATGCTTTGAGCTCTACTAACAATATACCAGAGCAAATTCGTTGGTATACAAATGTATGTAAATAGGAGCTTTTGACATGAAAAATAGGAAAGGACTGCTTGTCGTAAGGTTTCTGCCTTCTTCTTAGGATTGTTTGTATGCAGTATCAGTGTTTTAAATAATAGTCTGTACAGTAAAGAATCATTCTACTTTAACTATTATATTTTTATATTGACTTAATAATTAATAATATTAAATACTTTCATATTTCATGTGAATATTGTTATGGGAGAGTTTTTGTACTGCACCTTTAAGTGTTACGTAGCAGTGACGTGGGACGCGGAGGGCGTGGCCTACTCGTGAAATGTCAGGGAGGAATGGCGCTCGGCGCGGTATTTTGAACAATCGCCTTTTTCCCTTTGCTCGTTTTATCTGAAACCGTCGCCCAGCGTCAACATCTGCGGGTGAGCGGGACTTATTTTTTCGACCGGTTCCGCGGGTCGCCGCTCCGCGTCCGGCAGCCGGCCGCGCACTTGTTTTCCACCGAGTGTGTTGAATGTTTGAGATATAATGTTGTGCTAGCTAGCTGCGGCTAGCGAGCTCAGAGAGTTTGCTAGTACAGTTGTCCGTGCCCGCCGGGCTGCGTCCAAGGGGCTCACGGTGAGGATGATGTCGGGGGTTGAATGTGGATGTCCTCTGGTACTGACTCGTTACACAAACCTGCGAGCTGACACAAAGTTCGGCGTGTACTCACCGACATTTTAATGACATTTAGGGGGCTATTATTATGCTAAGTGACAGTGTTCGCTAATTTAAAGTTAAAAGCTAATAGCGGAACCGCGTATTGAGAGTCAAAGAGTCTTGTGTGTGTCTGTTTGTGCTGTCAAAACACAACGAGCACAAGTTAACGTTAACTGCTTTATTGTGCGTGTAGCTGCTTAAACATAAACGTCATATTCACGCCAACCTTCCTCTGTTGTTTAGTTTAGAAAATGATCTCGTAAGTTTATTTCGACTTGGTCTAAAATAACAGTATAACCGGTAGGCCGTGCTAAGCTGACCAGTGGCCCCTCGGAGCACCGGCCGTACGGGCCCCACGTCGCACGCACCGGCGAAGCTGGTTGAAGTGCATTGTTGGAGCTCAAGTGATTTAATCCCGACGGATGTCTCAAGTGACAGCAGGAATTATTGAAAGCTAGCATTGTTTACGTTGTCTGCTCAAAGAGTTTGTTTCTTGCTAATAGCGCACGGTGACCACCGGGTATTTATTTCAGCCCCCGTGTATGCTAGCGGTCCTCTCTCCCTGTGGAGAAGTGCATTTCATTGTATTATTTCAGCTCCATGTAAGTCATACAAAGTGGCATTCAGTGCTCACTGTTAGCCGGGGAGCTAACAGAGTTGATGACGAGGTAAAAATGGCGGATCTTTCGAAATCCAACCCGGCCTGAAATAGTAACGCAGCCAGTAACATCTCGTCTTTCTCCTTTTCATCTCACTCTTTGCAAGAAATGGGACCACTTTCGATTTTTGTCATTTAAAACAAATAATCTGTTTGGTGTGTGGATATGTTAGTTTGTGTGTTTGAGTGTTCATAATGTCCGTTCAGTGGATTAATATCCACTAAACCACACATATAAGTGTGCAGCAGGACAATAATGTGGCAAACATTAGTGGAACTCAAACGTGACTCATTTGCCAGTTGTACATATTTATTAGTTATGTAGAACAAATCGAAAACCGTACAAAGTAATAAAAAACACTTTATTGTAAATTGTGTTGATTGCTGTAAAATTGTCCCACATCTGGTTGATATAATTTATATGTTTTAAAATAAAGACACCCTGTTTTTAAATGTGTTCATCTGAAAAACAAAAACGTTTTCACGATCATTTCCTTACTCTTTTGTCGTTGACAGAGAGCCGAGACTTTGCCAGCATGGATGTGGTGTCGCCGGAGCTCAACAGCCTCCTTCCTGATGAGATCATGGACACCGAGGCCATCGAGGACCTCCCTCCCTCCCAGCCAGGCGGCGGCGCGGTCCAGTCACAGCCCAGCGATGACACGCCGGTTCCCATGGAAACGGATACTCCCGCGGCCTCGGAACATTTGAGCCTCTGTTCGGATGCCACTTCGGCGGAACACGCGAAGGCTCCTCCCACCTCCTCAGGAGCCACACTCAGCATCAGCACCGCAAGTCAGCTTCCCATCTCCATTTCCAGCACGTCGTCCCTTCTCACCCTCAAGCCAGCAATGGTTACTTCCCTCGCCGCGACTAAAACCACAGATAGTTTGAGCGGGACTAGTATCTCTACGACGGGGCTGCAGAGGCTCACGCCTCCGTTCACCATCTCCGCCGCCAACCACCAGATCATTCTCAACAAGGTGGCCTCGGCTCAAGCCACAGAAGCAGCCAAGTCCATTGGCAGCCAGCCGCAGGTCTTCAAGCAGGAAGGACAGAAACTTTTGGTGACGACCATAGGAAAGTCGGGGCAGCCGATAATGTTGCAGGTAGCGGGCGGCAAGCCGGGCGTCTCACAGACTTTAGGAGACCACAAGTCTCAAGCGCCGCAGTTTAAAGTGGTGACTATTGGTGGGAGGTCGGAGCTGAAGCAGGTGGTGGGGAGCGCTGGGAACCAGTTGACCACATTACAGGGCCAGCAGCTGAAGGCCGTACAGGTAACCCTGGTTCTTTTGTATTACAGTGCATTTATTTTATTGTTTGTTTGAAGCGTTCGATAACTTGCCAGATATTTGTGTTAAAGACATTTCTGTTGCTACTCTTAGCTTGGTTAACAAACTATTTACTGGCTTTCTTCGACTTGAAAGCATAGTTTGGTGTTTGAAGAAGAGATGAATCATTATAGTAATATCAGTATAGTACTTTATGGACCAGACAAGTAAATAATCAGCACCCCCCCGTTTACGCGTTGTCATTCTGCCGTTGAGGCCTGACGACAAGATACTGTTTGATATCATGCACAAAACATGCACAAAGATGTAAACATCTTAAATAGGAGCTTTATCCAAAAAAGCAATAATGATAAACCTGAGAATATGTACATTGATTAAATTAAAGTCGATACGTTCAATAAGTCAAAGGTGATTGTATTTTCTAGTGAGTACTACATTATGAGGTGGACAAAGGAGTTCTGCTAGGATGTTAATATCAAAAGAAGTGAGTATTTGAGGCATATACACCATAGATCTTAGAGGACAAGGCAATCGTAACAATAACGGCAATGAAAAACCATCGACTGTCCATTCATTTCTTTCTCGGATGTCAATGAATATTCTAAATATGTTTATTATGTAATGCTTAGGTATGTAGATATTTTAAATATAAATATGCATGTTATGTCGGGTATCCGTTTGCTTTCTTATTGACAAAGTGGGACAAAAGTATATATTTAAATAGCGCAAACCTTTTGTGTAGGTTTTCTTTTTTTGAACAGAACAATCACCCATTTTGTTCCTCTAAGTCCTTAAACTTCTTGGCAGGCAGATAAACGAGTATGAAACAGTATTTTCTGACAGGGATCTGTTTGTTTTTTTTGTCTGATGTTTAAGTCACTACAGTTTGTGTGTAAACTTGTACTTACAAGCTGGCGTTGCATCACAACTTTGATGGCAACCATCTTCGGGTCGAACATTCCCAGCGACATTTATTTGAGTGTATGAATTATTTGCACATGAACCTTAATGAATCCCTCCACAGATTGCTACAAAGACCCCCGTATCCTCAGCTGCACCCATCAAGTATATCATCACCAAAACAGTCAACAGCAAAGGTCTCAGTCCTCAGACCTCGGTGTCCCCCGTCATCACCGGTGAGTTCATGTTGCCGTGGTGGGACCATTGCACGCCGGCAGCGGTCTGAACTCAGCTGATCTCTGAGGCTCTTGCTCCCTGTGCGCTCAGGTCGGGTCCTGACTCAGACCTCCCCGGGGATTCCCTCGAGGACCATCACTCTGTCTGAGACGCTCAACTCCAACATGCAGAGTATCTCCGGCAAAAAGATCGCCATTTCCCCCCTGAAGAGTCCCAGCAAGGTGAAGCTCCACACACACACGTCCTAGATGAGGAATCGTCTTGTGGAGCAGAGTGACGCGTGTTGTCGTTTAAGCCTCCAGTTTGTAAATGTTTAACGTGATGTTTTATATTATTATACTTTCCCAGGTGACGGTGGTGTCCGTGGCGTCCCCGACCTCCAACGCCACTCAGAAGTCGATGACGCTGCCCGTCAACGTGGCACTCGGCCAGCAGATCCTCACGGTCCAGCAGTCCACATCTGGATCCCCGGTCAAGCTGGCCACCGGCCAGAACACGGCCCAGGTGGGACGTCCTGCTTTCCTCCAGAATGCACGCAGTAACCTTTGTGAAAGAAAGCGGGCAACATTTATTTGCACAAGATTTCTCAATGTGACTTTCTATAAAAGTACTTTTTAAATGTGGAGATTTAACTCGACCATGGAACGTTTTCAGAACATCAAACCAGTGCAGTCTGTGACCATGGGAGGAGTCGGCGGCTCCCAGTTCAAGACCATCATCCCGCTGGGCTCCCAGCCCAACGTGCAGCAGATCCAGGTCCCGGGCAGCAGGTTCCACTACGTCCGCCTCGTCACGTCGACCACGGCCAGCAGCTTGGGGCATCCCAGCGGTCCCAGTACCAGCTCCCTGCAGACAGGTGACCTTCTCATGGTTTTATACCGGTGCCAACGGGGGAGGGGGTCCTTTGCTGCAACTCAATGTGTCTTGACGTCCCGCAGCCAAACCCATGGTGGTCGGCACCGGAGCGGCCCGCATGTCTGTCGTCCCGGCGCAGCCCGTCAAACAGGTAGCAGCTGCTTCCGTGTCTCATGCAGGGTCACGGCATCGAACACGGCAAATTAAGCCAACATGTTTCATCAAATCATTTTTTGACTGATTTATTTCCTGCAGATGGCGCCGAAGCCCTTGACCTCGGGCGCGGTGGTGACCACGGCTCAGACGCAGCAGCGCCTCATCATGCCGGCGACGCCGCTCCCGCAGATCCAGCCCAACTTCACCAACCTCCCCCCGGGCACCGTCCTGGCCCCGGCGCCGGGGGGAGGGAACGTGGGCTACGCGGTCGTGCCGGCGCAGTACGTCACGCAGGTTAGTAGCAGCTGCACAACGTGTGTGTGTGTGTTTGTTGCTCGTTGATGTTCAGTGTGTTCTGATGTCTTTCTCTCCTGTAGCTCCAGCAGACGCCTTTCGTCACCCTCGCCAGCAGCTCCACTTTCCCAGCGCCCGCCGGCGTCCAGACGCAGGCCCGACTGCCACTCAACGGGTAACGGGGGGCCCCTTCTTATCTGCCCAACAGTTTGCTCTAATATTTTAAACTCTTCTGGTGCCCCCGATTGGTTGAACGTGCTTTGACTTGACTGTAACCTCCGTAATACGTTGATTGGCTCGCAGCTTGTCGCCAGCGGAGACGACCTCGAGGCCGAGGAAGCCGTGCAACTGCACCAAGTCGCAGTGTCTGAAGCTGTAAGTGCGGCCTTTGATGGTGTCTGTTGTGTGTTGGAGGGTCCGGTGGGGGCCGCTGACTCGTCCTCTCTCCGCCCGCAGGTACTGCGACTGCTTCGCAAACGGAGAGTTCTGCAACAACTGCAACTGCAACAACTGCTTCAACAACCTGGAGCACGAAACGGAGCGACTCAAAGCCATCAAGGTGAGGGAAGGGGGGGGGGGACGCCGCGATCTCCCGCCACACCGACGGGTCAAAGTTACAGCTGCGCCTTTTCTTTTCACAGACGTGTCTGGACCGAAACCCGGAGGCCTTCAAACCGAAGATCGGCAAAGGCAAGCAGGGCGAGTCGGACCGCCGGCACAGCAAAGGGTGCAACTGCAAGCGGTCGGGCTGCCTGAAGAACTACTGCGAGTGCTACGAGGTTGGTCCTCCCTTCACGCCGCCCGGACGCCCTCCCTGCGCCTCCTCCCGCTTTTTTTAACACGTTTCCTCTGTTCCACCTCCCCGAAGGCGAAGATCATGTGCTCGTCCATCTGCAAGTGCATCGGCTGCAAGAACTTCGAGGAGAGCCCGGAGAGGAAGACGCTGATGCACCTGGCGGACGCGGCGGAGGTGAGGGTGCAGCAGCAGACCGCCGCCAAGACCAAGCTGTCGTCGCAGATCTCCGACCTGCTGATGAGGACGACGCCCGTCATCTCCAGCGGGGGCGGGAGGTACGGTGACTCTACAAACTATTTGTGTTAATACTTCACCTCTTTGCCGGGCTGTGTAACGGCAATAACGTATTCTGAATATCAGTTTGCTGATGACGTTGTGCTTTGCCCCCCCTGCCCCGCAGGTTGCCGTACACTTTTGTAACGAAGGAGGTGCTGGAGGCCACGTGCGAGTGTCTGCTGGAGCAGGCCAAGAAGGCGGAGCAGACTCACCAGCCTCAGGTGGAGGCGGAGAGGATGATCCTGGAGGAGTTCGGACACTGCCTCATGAGGATAATCAACTCGGCGGGGAAAGCCAAAGCCGACTGCGCCTCCATCAACTGCTAGCTCCATGTCTGCCCCTGGACTTAACCCCGCTGTGGGGGTGTGTGGGGGGGGGGGGGGGCGGAGAGAGGCACAGAGACAACCTGCGGCGTCTCCGTCCTGCAGGGAGACGGCAACAAAAGGCAGAACGGCCAGGCCTGAAAGTAGAGTCTCCTTCCTCCGAGTAATAAACATGGAACAGATGTCTGGGACAAACGGACGGAGCTTGTTGGCTCTGACGGAACTTTAGAAGCTGAGGGGCCCGGCCACCCCCAGAGAGCCCACCCCCCACCGACCCAATCACCTGGCTGTGATGGACAGGAGGGAGCGAGCGAGTCACTTCATTTCCTCACAGGGCTCTTTCAAATCTGTTTGTCTTCTTCCATTTTATTCTATTTTCTTTTAGCTCCCCCCCCCTCACACACACACGTGTAACTTTTATGTAACCATTTCAGGTTAAAGTAGACAAAAAGGATCTTTTTTTAAATATTTATTTTGTCACGTATCAATATGCAGCGTATAGTGCTGCGAGCTCTTAATTATTAACCGAGGCTAAATTTATTGAATGAAAATGAGTACACACGTAATTTATTATCCACTGCTCACCCGCCTGCTGTACCCTAAAAACCCAACGCTGGGGGAACCAGTAAAGATCGTCTGCCGATGGTCCTGCCTGCAGGTCCGTGGACCCCAGCAGGTTTCACACGCCGGGTCTCATGAGTTCCATTCTGACGTTTCACAGCAGGAAAAGCACAAGAGGGGATTAATAACATTATCTTTTACGGCCCGAGGTCTTGGTGAACATCTGGCCTTTCTGGTTCTTATTTGGAGTGCAACATGAATTAAATGAAACACACTTATCGATCACATCATCCTCAGATGTTTGAAATGATAGCGTTGTCTTTTGCTATTTGATTCCAAACCAGTGAGAATCAAAGAAGAAACGTGAACACATCGGTGAAAGTTCATGTCGGATCCTTCAGCTCAGAGGCGGATTTAGAACATAAGTGTGTATCATCCGGTGTTCAGAGGCTCCAAACCCAGCAGAATCATTGTCGATGTAATTTGCATTGGTGCTTTTCCTTCTATGACGCTTCAGAATATCTGCTGTGGAAAATGTCTGAGACTTCTTGTCGGGAACCAGTGTTACTCTAAAATGTCCAAATATGCAAGAAAAAAAGTGCATTCTGGGTAGGACAGTGTGCTTCTCTTTCTTTCTGCCGATCGCACATGAACATGCATTTGTGGTGGGAGTAATATTTGCATTTCTAAACAAATTTAACAGTAATATGTAAAATGATTATATAAAAAGGCACAACTATCCCTTTAAGTTGTTTTTGTTTGTTTGTTGTATTTGTTTAATGTTCACCCATGTAGTTAATTTTGTTTACACAAATTAATTTATAATGTCTGCTCCTGTACTTTAAACCAGCCATGCCAGCTCTTCAGCCACACGTTTACTAACCACAGCAGTGTTGGTGTAAACGTGTGTCCCCCCCCAACTCTGGAACAGTGATTAAACTATATAATTGTTTTAAAGCTGAAACGGTGTCTGTTTTCCTTTTTAATTTACTTCCATCATATCAGCGTCATAATGGCTATATGGTTATAATGACTTGTTCTGTGAGGCAATCTGTCACATGTTAAACGTCTCAGATCACCGTGCTGACGCTCACTAAATCAGCACAAAGTTCACCCATTATATAATATGTAATGAATATATTATATCATTGTGGCGAGCTTGGCCAGATGAATGAGACCGGAGACTTGAATTACTTTCACTGCCTTTCCTGTGTCTTGTACGCCACAAGACCCCATGAGATAGACACTTTATTAAGGCTTTGAACACACAACTTCACCCACAGCCATACTAAGTTGGGTCATGGTGCCCACGCTCTTACACATTAAACTAACAGTAACATTTGAGCACAACAGAACCTAGAAAAACACATAAACTTCGACTGGGGTCCGTACTTCTCGCCCGAACATGAGGGCAGCAGGTGTGCGTCGGCTGGACTCCTGCAAACCTCGCTGAAGACCTTGGACTCAAAGTTCCGCCCTTGGTCGCTGTGCAGCTCAGCGGGGGCCCCGAAGCGGGCACACATCTGGGTCGGCCCCTTCTGGGCAGTGCAAAGGTCGCAGCAGTGCACATACAGCTTTAGGACTTGGGGGCGGAGTGTGAGGCACCAGCAATTGTACAAGGTCGCGTCCTCTATCGGGAGCACCATTCCGGCCTCCAGTCCCCCTCCATGACCTCCATGGCACTTTAGTCGGCCGCCTCGGACACACTGAAGGGCTGTACCTGAACTGCAAACTGGATGGCCAACCGTGTCGGTCGCTGGTCGACACAGGGTCCACCATCTCCTTGGTACGAACTGGCATCCTCCCTGGTACTAGCGGAGACCTCCCAAAGACTTGGTCGACAACCACCACTCAAATGGTCACGGTAACGGGGGAACGAGCTGGCATGAGAGGGACCAAGGCACTGAAAGTCCAGGCTGGGGCCCAGGAGCTGGTGCACAAGTTCTGGCCTTGCTGACATCCGGGACCCATGTATCATCGGCTTGGACCTGCTGACTCGCTGGCGTCCCTGTCAACGTGTTAGGAGCAACCATCACCCTTGGCACAGAGATTGTGGAGCTTCAGCCCGGTAGGGCCGCACCACCTCCCATGCCGTCCGTCGCCAGTGGCCCTGCACGTCCACAGGCCACCTTGGCTGCCTCCATTGCACCAGGAATTGTACAAGGTTGCGTCCTCTTTCGGGAGCCCTCCACCTCCGGTATATGTAGCGTGTGTGTGTGAGAGAGACCGACCGACCCGCCAGGTGGCGGTAATGCACCTAGTGATCCTTATGAGATCTTAAATTCCACCAAAGAAGAAGAACGCAGTTACAAATGGAGAGAAGTAGCACGCGGAGGTCCTCGCCCAGATGTAAGATAATATGATTATTTATATTCTGTTTAAAAGTGTTGTATAAAAGGTTTTGCATGATTACTATTTTTGGTCGCAGAGGTTTCTCGCGCTTCTCTTGTGATGATGATGATTATAACTTTTAATGAGGTTTCGCTGATATTGAATATCTGCACCTGAGATACATCGATATATACTTTATTAATCTCCAGGCGGACATTAAGTTTCGTTAAATACTCTAATTAACTTGATTCAATACTTCATGCATCTACTACAGTGGTGAATTGGTGTAATTATCTCCAGACGTCACACGAGCCGCCGACCACGTGGCCGCGAAAAGCCGCCTCACCAAACTCCAGCTAAAATGTGGTTGTTTAAGTGTAAAACGGATCAGTATTCAATCGACTCAAACATTTTCTGAAACTCAATCCGCATCTCTTCCGTCCCGCTTACGCGCTGCAGTCCCGGTGGTTGTCGTTTTCTGCTGTTCTCACCATCTAACTTGCACTTTTATTCTGTTTCACGTGTTTTCGTAGATCAGCCGAAGAAGCTCCGTTCCAGTGAAACGCGGACCTGACACGCATGTATGTGCTGCAGCTCTCGTGTGGTTTAGTGAAGTGAGAGGCCGTCCCAATGATTATAACAATCACTACCCATCTGACCCATTCACATGTGTGGGGGAGATTATTCATGAGACGTTAAATGAGGGTTTTGGCACTAACTTTCCATATGGAGATGCTGGTGCTGCTGTTGTGAGACTAACATCTGCATTCTTGTTTCAGGGTCACGCTGCTGAAGTAAAAGGGAGAGTTCTCCACGCGGCTACATCTACATAAACTGGTTTTGTCTTTCTCCATTTGAAGTCATTCATCACCAAATAAATACAAATTGAAGAGACGTTGATGTGTGTTTTGTGGAGGAGTGCATCCATTCAACTGAGATTAAGGCTTTGTAGCTTGTATACATAAAATGTTACGGTATTTTTATTAGCATCTCCATTAGAAGCCAACTAACATTTTAGTAGCAAATATTGTACCGTTTTCTTTTTTTGTGAGGTGACGTCCACATTGTTTAACATTTATACTCGTATTGTCCTACAATTTAATTATTTTTATTGATGTGGAATTACTGTGTTATTAATGTTAAGTATGCTGCATGAATGCACTGGTTTTATATCAACACAATAACCGTTGACCTTGGGGATTGTTGATCATATATATAAGTAAATTACATGTTGAATTTAGGAAATAAAGTAATGTCCACTAATATATATATATAATTATTTGGATGTAAAATATTCAGTCAGTTAGTCTGGAAGTCAGTTCTTCCAGTTGATTCGGATTTTGCTTGGAAATACGTTTGATTTAACGTTAATATATAAATTAGAAGTTTGAATACTTAGCATGCTAGCAGGGCTTAGCTAGCTTGCTAGCGGTGGAGACCATGTTAAATAAGTTAGCATGCTAACATTGTAGACGTAAAGCTAGTCTGCATGCTAGCAGGGAAAACTATAGCTAACATTGCTCGCAGTTTATACCCTCAACATCAAAACCGGCCTGCCGTTAATTAGTTATTATATTTCTATTATATTTACCATGTTCATAAGTATTGTATACGAGCTACGGCGTGTAGCATGTACAACTGTCAGCTAGCATGCTAGCAGAGCTAGCAGCGCGTACGTCCCCCCCCGGAAGCTGTTCCTCTTCTTCGTGGCAGGAGGAGACGGCTCCTAGTGCCACGTTGATGGAGACCAGTGGGGACGTGGAGCCTGTAGCCGGTACCCGGTAGCCTCCTTCCGCTCGTGTTTCTCTACGGACGACGACCACAACGCAGAACCGAACAGGGAACCTGCCCGGGCGGAGGAGTGTTCACGTGAGACGCAGCGAAAGAAGGGCAGGTAAGCGGCTTTAGTGAAGGAATCAGACCCGTGTGTAACTGTCATGTCTTCAGCAGGCAGCTAGCAGACCAGAGCGACCCCCCCGCCTCCTCTGCAGCCGCAGGACGCGTTGTACATTTTTCTAGTGAAGCATTTACAGATAAAGTGACAGAACCGCAGGCGGTTTTCCGCCCATTCGTCGCCTGTCACTCGCCAATGTCGTCGCCGCGGGGCTTTCGGTTGTTGTGTCAGCTGTTAGCACGCCGCTAGCTCCTCCTCTGCTTTTAAGTTTTAACACAACGTGAACCAGCGGAAGAATTCTCTTTCCCCAGAGCCACTCGTGAATAACGCGGTAGCCTTAACAAAGCGACGCGGGCGTGATTCTGGGCGACGGGGTCAAAGTGCCGTCGGGCCCGTTTGTGTCCTCATTACAGCAGCGGGGCTCAGTGGC